TCTCGATTCAAGCAAAAGTACAATGTCGTTAGCTAAATTTTAGTGGCATTTTACAGATAGGTGTGGTATTTTATCGCCTTAAAAAAATAATTATTTACCGCTTTCATAGCGTATATAAGTCTGACAGAAAATCGTGGACACTTCACGGCTTCTGTAAATTGAATAGTAGGTAACTAGTAATACTGTAAATGCGCATTTTAGCTATTAAATTTACCCAAAGCCTAACAAATAAATCAAAATAGAAGGGCGAGAGTTATGGAACATATTTCTATCATTAAATTGAAGTTTGGGTACTAAGATACCACCATTAAATTCGAGTTCTGGTATCAAATACCGTCATTAAATTGAGCATAACGTATCAAATACAGTCATTTAATTGAGTATCGGGTATCAAATACCATCATTAAATTGAGCATCGGGTATCAAATACCGTCATTAAATTTAGCATCAGGTATCAAATACCGTCATTAAATTGATCATTGGGTATCAAATACCGTCATTAAATTGAGCATATATATGTATATTACGACGTCCTACACTTTATTGATTAATTGGTCCCGTCCCGTAGTTTAGATATTGAATTACAAACTCGGACACAGTACGACCGCTAACCACATCAAATGTTTGACAATTATACAGGTAAATTTATCCCGATGAATTTTTATTTAAGGTTTTACTATGAAAATTACATTTCGTCCCAGAAAGTCATCCATATCTTAAATTATATTTAAATTAGATAATAAAAATATATAAATTTATATATATATATATATATATATATATATTGTGTCGTATATATGAAGGTAAAATGAAATTTATCCACATTGAAGTACAAAACTTTAAGATATGGATATCTTTGGATGAAGCCACCGTCTTTCTGGAACTAAATGTTGTATTTTTTTTTTGTAAAACCATTAAATAAAAATTCATCGGGATAAATTTTTAATTTCAAACTTTTGATGTGGTTAACGATCGTACTGTCAGAGTTTTTTCTTTTTAATAGAAGAGGGGCAAACGAGCATACGTTTCCACTGATGTTAAGTGACTACCGCAGCCCCATGAACAATCGCAATACCAGGGCCATTGCAAATGCGTTGCTGGCCCTTTAGAAAGGAGTAAGCTCTTTTCTTGAAGGTCCTCAGGTCGTATCGGTCCGGAAAAACCGCCGGTGGTAAATTATTCCACAGAGAGGTCGTACTCGGAAGAACATTCCTAGTGAAACGTACAGTGGTGGATCGCCAAGCATCTAGATGGTGTGGATGGTATCGGGAGATTTGCAGCGTAGCGTAGTGCATTCATGAAATTTGGTGGCTGGTGTTAATCCGAACAATTCCTCAGAGCACTCCCCGTGATAGGTGCGATAAAATACGCAAAGAGATGCAACATCTCTTGGCAACACCAGTGAATCAAGCCAATCGGAAAGCACTCGGTCATCGATGATTCGAGCCACTCTGCACTAGATGCGGTCAAGTGGGAGGAACTGGCACTGGGGAGATCCAGCCCAGAGATGGGAACAGTATTATATGTGCGGCTGAACCTGCGCCTTGTAAGTTGCAGGCGATGTGCCGGCATGAAACACCGTCCCGGTCTGATGAGCATGCAAAGCTTTTTTAGCGGTTAACGCGCAAACTTGTGTCTTCTGCGGGTTAAACTAGACTAGTTGCCCCCAATCCGAGACTTTGTTCAGCAAAGACTCGACTACAGACACAAGTTTGTCCCGGTACTCGGAGACGATTTTCCGAGAAATATTGGCACGGCCGGTGTACAGAGCATCACCAGTGCTGTCATCTGCATAGCAATGAATGTTACAGGTTTGCAACATATCACTGACATGAAAAGAAACGGCGTTGGTGATAACACGCAGTCTTGTGGAATACCAGCATTAATAGGCTTGTAATCGGAGCTTGCACCGCCTACAACGACCTTGACGCTCCGATCTGCAAGAAAGCTGGTGATCCAATTGCACAATTTCTCGGGAAGCCCATAGGGAGGGAGCTTCGAAAGAAGCGTTTTTTGCCAAACCCGATCGAAGGCCTTCGTAATGTTCAAACTAACGGCCAATGCTTTCCCCTTGGACTCTACTGACGCCGGCTATCTATGAGCTAGGTAGACCAGAAGATCACCAGCTGATCGACCGTGACGGAAACCGTATTGGCGTGGCGGTCACTAATCAGCTGGTGATTCTCAAGGTACCTCATGAACTGGCAGTTCACAATGGATTTCATTGTTTTGGAGAACAAGGAGGTGATGACGATGGGCCTGTAGCTGGACGGGTCTGAGTGGTCGCCTTTTTTAGGCATCGGGTGGACGAAAGCCGTTTTCCATGATTTTGGGACTACGCCTTGAGAATAGGAGTACCTAAAAAAATGCGTTAAGACCGGTGCCAACTCTGGAGCACACGTCCTCAGCACAATTGTGGCGATACCGTCAGGCCCACTTGACTTGTGTATGTCCAGGGAGAGAAGTGCTCTGCGAACTGAGTGCTGTGTAAACCGCATCTCCAGCATGGAGCACTCACACCACTGGATGGTCGGCGGCGTACTCCCCCGTCATCAAGAGTAGAGTTGGACGCAAAGAAAGAGCCTAGCAGATCGGCTTTCTCCTTTGCGGTATGGGCCAGTGAGTCGTCCTCCCTGTGCAGAGATGGAAGAGATGGCTGACAGAAATTTCCCTGGATAGCCTTGGTGAGATACCAGAATGCATGGGTTTCAGAAGGAAGGTGTAGGAAGTAGTTTCTCGCCAATTCTGCCTAAGTGCTCTGACTTTGCCTTGGCAATGACTCTTTTGAAGGACCTGGAAGCGGAATTATACTTCTTTTTTTAGAGCGCTGGTGTTTACATCCCGGGACGCTGTAGAAAGTTCCATACCCTGAAGTACCACATCAGCGACAGAATCGGCAACAACGTTTAGATTCATCCGGTCAAATCCAATAATATATATATATATATATATATATATATATATATATATATATATATATATATATTGATACTTTTGAAGTATACTACTTGTAATAACGAAATCGATTCCGTAAACAGTTCTGAACAAAAATTTTAAATCCAGTACTTGCGCAGAGGGGAATAGTCGTGCGAGGCGAGTCCATTAGGTTGAATGGTCTAAGTATTCATATGTATTTAGTCTTCGGTCAATAATATACTTGATTCCTGATAAGCGCTTTAAAAACGACCAGAAAAATAAGACCACAAACACTTTGTGGTCTTAGTTCAAATTAGTATAGTCCAATCATAGCCAATGTTAAAACGTCGAAATGCCAACTAACACCAAGATTTTGGGAGGAACATCTTTTTTTCAGTAAGTTTATATCATTAAGTGTTTTTCATAAAATAAAAATTGAATTAAATAGCAAAAATAATTTAATTAGCTAATGTTATGATTGTTTGGCCAATATTTGCTATAACATAACAACTATAGTAACAAACATCGACTGTTCTTGAACAAACATCCATGGAGTAGTATTATTATTTAATATATATGATTTGTTTGTAGATTTCCTAAGCGCCCATTTCGCTCTGCAGAATGAGTATCTATTGTCGCGAAAGAAAGAGAAGAACTATATATACAACCCATCTAAAAATTTGAGAATATGTTCGATTCATTTTGATAGATTGGACATAACTGGAAACACGCAAAGGCGTAGATTGCTAAAAACAGCGGTTCCCAAATTGCAGGTAATTATCACAAAGTAGTAAAATTGTTAGTGTAAGATAATGCTTTTGGTAAAAAATAAGTTGTTTATGACTTTTTTAGATTTACGGACCAATAAAAGTACAATCAGCTTTTTGTTCGGAATGACGAAAGAGTTATCAAATCATGTAATTAAAAAAAATCTTTATCGGAAAAAACAATACCTGTAGGTATTTTCATGAAATACTTTAAAATTGTTTTCAATAAACTTTAACTTTTGAAGATACCAAAGAAATACGTGACGCGTACCTCGATCTGATGCAGTTTGCTCTAAGTGTCCTCATGCATCATTATATCAGATTTAACATAGATATGTGACACTCATAGAAAAGGGTATTTAAAAAAGAAATTGACGAAACTTTCCTTGAATACCTACTACATTTATAAATCGGTCAAAAGTGTTTGCTACCATACAAAACGACCCTTGTTCTAAAATATTTATATTCTAAATCTCTACGTCTTACAATACTTACTGTGTTCCGAGCATTGAAGTATAATACCAAGAACTACGTCTATATACTACCAAATTGGAGTAAGCAAGAAAATGTCAACATAATGTTTTAACCTAATTATTAAAGAGTCCTTCCTCCTTAATCTAGTATATAATTGATCGAAGATTATAGTATTCTATGCTAATTACCTACTCTAAGATCAGAACAGAATAGCTGTCAAATGGAGTTTTTTTTGTAGGGAATTTGGCCGTCGGCAAATTGTCGTTCCTGTTTTGTCTCTTGAATAATGGTTTGAAGTGGATTTTGATTAGTAAAAGTGATGCGATTTTGTGAATTAAGTGTCTGCGCGTAGCGTGAACTATTATAGAAAACGACGAAACAAGTGCTTTGATGTTAATATAAACCTCAAGTTAATTTGATCGCTTGGGCGTCTTATGAACTTGAGTGGCTGTCGTCATCAACTGTCCGCTGGGTTGAGCTGTCATCAAAATCTCCCAAAAACTTCACAATGAGATGCATCAGCATATTGTGCAGAAAAAATACATAAAAATGAAAATTCCTAAAGAAATGATAGGCTCAGAAGGGCTAGCACCCAGAGCTGTAAAGTCAGTTAATAAAAAAGCTGTCAAATTAATGTCAATCTCTCATCACAGACTACTAAGAGGATACTACGCATATCTCTCATCGATATTCGATAGCGATAGTATATTGTATTTTTAATTGTTTTTATAATAGTTTTATCTTTAAAAATTCCCATAGATTACAGCTTAGAAATTTAACGAATAATTTGATAAGTCAGTAATGTCAGTGGAATTTTGAAACGAGTGTATTATTTGAAGGACCATGGATTCTTCAAAAAAGTCGGGTCCTTCTTCAAGTGAACCGGTGGCTACTAGTGCAGCAGATGCTAATACACCTGCGGTAAGGAATTCTGGTCTGAAGCATATAGAGAGCCAGTATAAGTATAGGCATACCATATTAGTCCTCAGAGGTGACAGCTCATAGGTAGCCTTCTTTGTGTGAAGTTCACTGTGGGTCTCCATACACTGCAGAAGCCACTTACCTTTACTTAGGACAGTGAGCTTGTTTATCACTTCGGTTTAAAGAAAACATTTTGTGTAAATAGTAATAATTATGACACTGAAAATATTTCTGAATAATATAGAAAATTGTTTTTATGTTTTGTCTTGTCTAAGTCCTTAAAATATTACAAGGTTCTATGTATGCAAACATTTTATTGAATAATGATTGTTGTACCCAATAAGTGGGTTTTGTTATGTGTTGTTTACACTAGTGATAGTTTTCATTTCAACCTGTCTCTCTGCTGTTCCATTACTTCATCCATGAGGAATTTATTACGATTGGATTTCATGGGTTCTATTTTTTTTTGCACGGAACCCTAATTCATTTTATAAAATAAAAGTAGCCTTAAGTGGTAAGTTACTTCATCGGTGAAAAACCCGTCATAATCAGTTCAGACATCACATGCAGACAGACAAAAAATGAATTTCTTTTTTGTTATAAGTACCATTCATACTTTCATATTTACTGTGTAGTGGTGGTGTAAGAATATCCACTATCCCATATCATCCCGTGGGTGTCGTAAGAAGTGACAGAAAAAACAAACAATTAAATAGGCAGCAGCATCTTCCTATTAACAACTTAAAGATATAAAATGACCACGTCTCTTTCTATCGCTCTCAACTTAAATGGTTAAATATCCCACAACGCAGGAGCCTTAGAATTCTTAGCACTCTGTTAACTATTCTTAACGATCCATTGGCCCCAGAGTATTTTAAATGTAAGTTTCAATACCTGGGTTCTTCCATGATTGCAATCTTCGCTCTTGTAACAATCTCATGCTTCATACTCCCTCTCACCGTACTGGTTTCCTCTCAAACTCTTTCGCTGTTACAGCTGTAAGATTCTGGAATGCGCTTCCCCTAGCAATAAGAAAATCCCTCAACAAGTGGATTTTTAAAACAAGGTAAAGGAACATTATTTGGGTTCATCTGACACATAAATATATAAATGATCTATAATGTTTATTCTAGTAGATACTTATATATATTTAATTAAGTTTGAGCTATGAGTATGTATGTGTGTAGTGTGAGTGTGTGTGTTTGTGTGGGGGGGGTGTATGTGTATGTGACATTTATCAATTTTAGGTTTCATCCTATCCCACTGCAGTACACATATCTCCCACTAACTTTCCGGTTGGCTGGTAGAAAATGCCATATGGCATTAAGTCCGCCGTTGTACCTTTAGTACAATAAAGTGTAAATAAATAAATAAATAAAATTTGCTTGCCAAGAGTGGTGACTGTGGCAAATATCCCCCCACCCCCATATGAGGCTTATCTATGCAAGAGGCCTATGTTCAGCAGTGTATTTAAATAGGCTGTAACGGAAACTTTCCTAGGCATTTAGTAAAAACCTGTTATTATGACATTACAGACACTTCATTTTATTTATTCATATAGATTATTTATGGAGTGCATGTTAATTATTGGTTTAACTTTATTTTATGCTACAGGAAAGAAACAGGTAGGGCTTAAGTGGGCCTTAACTATTAGTTAATTAGTAGCTGTTTTTTATAGAAGTGGTAGTATAATATCCAGATTAAATGTACCATTGAAGTGATAGTATAAAATCCAGATTAAATTTACCAATTTGAATATAGAAGAAAATTGAAATTCAGAAAAAAATATACTTTGAATAATTCCAAAGTATTTTTTTTATGTAATTGAATTGTCATTATAATTTATAACACACAACATTTTATTTTATATTACAACAAAGACCTGTTAATAATTTTACAGTTTAAAAATCTTTTATAATTCTTGTAGTGTGTTCTTCACATAGTGGATAAATAATGATGATATTGTATTTCTCTAAAAAAAGGACAGGTTCTTTTCTTGTTTTACATATAGATAATAAATTAGATTGTATTAACAATTTTTCTGTCCGCAAAAAAGACAATAGATAAGCAATAGTAATATTTATATATGAATAATGGGACAGTGAAATGGTTAATATTGTTAGCACAAATACAGAACTGCTAGATATTCTTAACTTTGCAACTCTTAACTTAACAATAAATTCCTACCAATGTAATCTGTTGTTGTTTTTTTCTTATAAAACACTACAAAATTATTCATCATACATTCAACTCAAGATTAAGATGAAGATTATTTGCATGAATAAAATAGAATTATCTTCACAAAATTATTGGCTTCTTTGTACATTAAATAATGTATTCTTAGTAAAATAAAGATATCATTTATATACATAATTCTCTTAAAAGTTCAAGACATATTATATTGCTTGTTCTGTTAGGTATCCATGTAGTAATTTGTCAATATTGTAACAGGTGCCATCGTCGGATGAAAATGTGAGCAAACCAGAAATATCAAAGCCCATTGTCTTGTCTAAGGGAGTTGAAAATGCTAAGAAGAGACTTCGAGCATTCTCCATTCAGAAGAAAACACCAATTGCACCTGTAGTTGTCCCTAAATCTTGTGGCACTGGAAGTATGTTTTATTTTCGTTGTATATTGTTGTCTATTTAAATTTGTGATGCACTTTAATTATCAATATAGATGTCTTAAAAGAAAATCACAGTATAATACACTGCATTTAATGTAATAAGGTCCTCCGGACCGAATTTTGGTCACGGCGGCCAGCCTCAACGGAGACTAGCCATCGGCGCAGGACAGGATTATAGTGCCCAAGTGTATGCGCAAGCACAGGTGCACTCTCTATTCCGTCACTCTCATAATCCGATGGGACGGTAAACCGACTCGACCGGAAAGAGATCAGGTGCAGGACCAACGGCTTTACGTGCTTTCCGAGGCATGGGGGTGAGCCACCGCCAACTTCCTGACTCCGGGCAACTACTGAGAATTTCTTGATGGAAAAACTCAGTAATTAATTTTTTGGCCCGACCTGGGAATTGAACCCAGGACCTCAAGATCAGCAGTTGCACCAATACAACCACTAGACCAACGAGCCAATCGCATTTAATGTATAGGGGTGTGTATATATAATATAAAAAATATGTACCTAAATATATTATATTGTATTTTGAGTATGTATATTTTATTATGTAACACATATACATATATATTATTAGTAATATTATTATTATTTTTAAAGTATTTTCTGGAAATGTATAAATGTGTGTCAAATGCTTTGATAACTTCTTATAATAAATATGTTTATTCTTATGTTTTTTTTTAGGTACAACAGTTTTAATTGGGAAGTTAAGCAATGTGAAATCAACAACACCAAAGGTTGATGATGAGCAAAAGAAATTGCCGAAACCACCTAAGCCAGGCTCCAATAAGAAATCTTACCAAGGTAATATGCTAAAATCCTCATTCTATAAATTCTCCTGATGTTGCAATTGTTCATAGGCAGAGACAGTCACTATCAGGGGAGCTACACGCTCAGTTTGCCTCCTCTTCTATGAAAAAAAAAAATCAATATAACATGTGTTTTTAGAGTTGTAATGAATAGTATACACATAAAGTTGATTACTGAATATTTGGATAGATTTCTGGTTAAATAGCCTGTTTTTGGTGAGAATTTGTCCAGTTATGCCCATTTCACTTATATGCCTGCAATTTTTCGTCCCAACCACTTGACATTGTTTTAACATGTTAAAAATGCCTGTTATGTTTATAATTGAACAAAGGAAGTAGTCTCTTTGAAAAAATTATAGTAAATCTCTTAAAATGGATTCACTTAGAGGAAACTGATCATATGAACAGTATTCAATGTAAATTGTGTAAATCTATTATCCTCATGGCTTGTGATCTACACGTGGCTGCACAGAAAAAATAATGACAACTTCAGATATTTACCCAACTACTCCAGAAGGACGGTAAAGTTTTTCGAGAGTATGTGTGTATGTATGTATGTCCGTTTCGTTGACACACTCTGTAGCCTAAACAGCTTGATGAATTTTAAAATTTTGAAAAAATTGAGTCTATTGTTATCTCTAGGAGGGAAAATGTGTGAACTTCCTCAATGCTACATTGGTAAGATATATAGCGAGTGGAACTCCTGATCTCTGATATGGACGAAATATACTTTGGTCTTTTCAAAATTTAATAATATATTACCTCAAATTCATCCACAATTTTGCTAATATAAAAGATTAGTCTTTTATTTTGAGGCTACAATAGCATTGAATGATTAAAAAAAATTTATTCAATAATGATTCTGGTCACAACAGCATATTAACTTACACAAAGTAACATTATTTCATAACTTTAAAAATCCCGCGTGGTTTTCCGTTAGTTGTACAAAAACTGTCTAATATAAAATTATGGTAACATGTATCTGATCACATTAGTATAACCTAAATTAAATGTTAAAAAACAAAAATCTTTGAATTACGTCAAACTGTGAGTTTGAGCCTTAAGGTGGCTCAAGTCGCGGGCTCGAACTCATTGGTGGGCGCGGCCAAAAAGCACATTGTCTCACCTGGCATCGTGCCCGACAGAGATAGTACCAGTGAAGAGCAGTTAGAACGCACGTCTTGTTCGTACGGCGTTCCGAACCGTTAGAACAAAAACGAAGTTACACGAACACGATGCACACATACATACCACCCTATTCTGTGCCGCTCGACGCTTGCTAAGAAATCAGCAGTACCTACCTACAAACTCGTACTAAAAATTATTAGGCGCTGCGCTACGTTATCGCTTTATACTATACCTCTATAGCTCTATAGATACCTAATATAGATTGCTTATTTTATTATGTTTTGTTTTCCCCGGGTGGTCATGCAGCGATCACTCAAGAGTTCACGACGCCGAAGCATGAACTGGAACAGTCATCGCAATTTATATCCGTACTAGCTGTTGCCAGCGGCTTCAAACGCGTGAACTCGAACATTATCCCACAGGAACGAAATCCCTGAATAAACGGTATCAAAAAATGTGTTATTCCAGACCAGGTATAACCTATCTCTGAGCTAAATATCATCCAGATCCCTTCAGCTGTTCTGGCGTGATGTAACATACATCTATCCATCCAAACTTTCGCATTTATAATATTTAGATAATAATTGTAATTAGTTCTGCCTACCAATAAATTGTTTTCAAAAATACTTACCTGTCTTCTTACTTTTTTTATATACACACAATATCACTAGATGTAAACACATGTTTTTATCAAGACAAGTGACCCGTCAAGACTGTTTCCCTTAGTACCGACGTACTTAGGCAGTAGTAGGTAGGCAAAAACGATTACTACTGAAAAACTAAATAGGTACCTACCTAACATTCAAATAAAAATATTCTCAAAAAGCTCAACCAATTCAGAATTTAATTTTCTTAAAAGAAAAGTGGTCAAATAAAAAATAAAGGATGAAAATAAAGCATATGGGAATATAAAAATAAATCGTATTTATTTGAATAAAACTATTATTTACGGATTTTATCGCGTTTAATTACTTTAATTTATTTTTATTATTATCCCGACGTTTCGGGTGCTTTACAGCGCCCATGGTCACGGGGGGGGGACCATGGGCGCTGTAAAGCACCCGAAACGTCGGGATAATAATAAATAATAAATTAAAGCAATTAAACGCGATAAAATCCGTAAATTATAGTTTTATTCAATGTGTAGTGTTCGCGTAAATTTAAGAAATCGTATTTATTTGTTATTTCGAGTTTTACAAGAAAAGCATAATATTTACTGGAGAGAATTATTTTATTATTATAATAGTACATGATATTCCCTTTAAAATGACACCAATATGAATAATATCTTATATCTATATCTACAAATAGATAAAATTTAAGTGTCTGTTTGTAATGTTAAAATAACAGCTTTTTATTAAATGCATATGAAAGTACTAGTAACAAAAACACATTTTTTAAAATTTCAAACGCCACAATCTCTAATTTTTTACTCTGCTATCTTCAGCGCTGTACACGAACGGAACGATGTCGTTGAGAGCCGTGGTAGCTCACATGGTTAGCGCTCGTTATAGGTATCACAGTACGGGAGCAACCCGGGTTCGATCCCCACCGGCACCAATGAAATTGTTGCGTGCTGATTTAGCTATCAGTTGGAAAGTCTGTTTTTCTGGGCCGTTTTGTTTTGTTACACTGACATCTCGCAAGTCACCTAGGGACCTAGGAGGTTGTCGGTTGCTTATTTTTTATTTTTCTTTAAAATTTTCGTCGGTAAAATAACATATTTATAAAAGTAAAAAAAAGTAAAGTTACAGCCTATATACGTCCCACTGCTGGGCACAGGCCTCCTCTAATTTCTGAGAGGGTTTTAAGGCAAGGAAATGTCCGCCACGCTGCCTCAATGCGTGTTGACGAACTTCACATTTCTTCGAAATATATATTTTTTAATTTCTCAGACATGCAGACCCGAGTTCGATCCCCGCCGGTATCAATGAAATTGTTAATTGCAATTGTGCTGATTTACCACGTGCTCGGCGGTGAAGGAAAACATATTGAGGAAACCTGCACGTCTAAGAATATAATTATAATCGAATGTAAATCAAATTGACATAGGTAAGTACAGATAAAATTAGCGGAACATTAATAAAATTTTGAGATCGTTTTTTTTTTTTTTCAAAATTTTATTTATATATTCCTCTATTTTTGTCTGTGCTTATATCAATTTGATTTAATCCAGTTCAAGCAGGGGTCAATGTAGCGTAGTAATTTAGAGCGCAGGTATAGCTATAATCATACGAACGTCACAGGCCGCAGCTGACAATGACGTCGAATAAAACTAGAATAAGCGCGCGTCACCGCGCATGCATGTGTGTGTAAGTGTCGTCCTCCCGCACCGCACCGAGGGAAAAATTATTCAGTGAGATGCACGATAATTCATATAAACACGCGCGCGTAAAAAAAATACGAAAAGGCCTTTGGAAGGAGGGGTTTTATGAAAAACCCACTGCATGAATCAATTACCAATAAAATTTATTGAATTCTTCGATAATTGAGCTGTGTCGGTACCGACTTTGTTTTGGAAATTTTACACTGCTTTTATTACTAATTTACGCCCAAAGTTGTGTTAAAATTGGCAATAAAAACGTATCTTTGGTAGCTCGTAACTTTTTACTGACTTTTTATTTTACTATTCTGTTTCGGTACAGACAAAATTAATAATGAGACAAAACGATATCATGTTTAACTTTGGATGTACACTGTCAAACAGCGAAGTAAAACCCCTCCGAAATTTCTATGGAAATAATGTCGACTAGAGTCACCTTAAGGTTTTAGTGTAACTGATCATTTTCTCAACATTTTATTATTTTAAAAATCGAGATAGAATCTTACTTAAGAAGAGGGAGGGGTGGGGTTCGATAAATCTTATTAAAAAATCGCCAAATCATCCTTATGTAATTAATGAATGGCCTCTTACTGCTTTTAATTTTTGAAGATAAATAATAAAATGATACATTGTATTTTTTAAAGAATATTAACAATGCTATAAACATTACTAATATTCCCCTTAACCACTCGTGGTAAGCTTAAATTGCGTGTGTTACGAGTGGTTCACGCCAGTCGTCGAATGGCGGATTCAAACCTACGACCTTTTTGAGTTCGCGGCGCCCTGCCATTAGGCTACTGTCGCTTCTGTATAACTATATACTGTATAACAACGTTATTATTTTTCCTAATTATGTAAGTCATTTATTTTCTTATAATGTGATTCAAAGTAATCGTTTATAACAATTCATATCTCATAAGATTGACTATTATATTACTCCTTAGTCATTTAAGAGCCCAGTCTTTCAGAGCAAAACAGAAAAATTGCGTTCTGGTGACACATCTACACCCTCCCTGCCCCGCCACTTCATGTACCGCCACCGCAGTTATCTTTCTGGCCGTAGCGTGGAAAGTTGCTCTACTAAGATTTTCCAGTATCAATTTATCTAATATACAGGATTATTGATAATTAGCTAACAAATTTTCACATACAGATTTTCTACCTCGTATCTATTTTTGTTCCATGCTTTTATTACAAAATTCGTTACACAAAAAAAAATATTTTAAGTTTGTATAATTTTTGTTGTTTTGTTGAAAAGGTTTCTAAAAGATAATCATCTAGAACCTGTATAACATGTACTCGTATTATTGATTATTCAAATGAATCTGGCAAGTGCTAGAATGAGTCGTGCACTGAGGGTTTCGTAATAAGTCGATGACACTATCGAAAATCCGTCAAGTACGTCAAGTAGTTCTAAATACTAAAATAGATTAAAAAAAAAACTCAAAATAATTTCTATATAAGTACAAACAGTCCACTATCACACATATTTATAGTTTCTCATTAAAGTATAATGTAACTTTGTATAGCATTTACCTATATGCATTACAAATATGCAACTCATTTATAAACTATTCTTAAAAGTACCTACCTAATTATATACCTAATATTTAACAAAGTGCTCACACATATGCACGTTGTTAACTATTTTACTATGAAACACAAAAAAACTTACCTTTGAATTCTATTTCTGTTCATTGCTTCAACGTTTGATTTCAATTTTCGTTTTCTGGTACAAGCATATTTTTTACGTTTATGGTCCATATCGAAATTAAAAGTTATAAAACAAATACAAAATGATTTATAAACCCTTAAAGAATTATATGCAAAAAATAATAAAGTAGAGCAACTTTCAATTCGTAACAATGCGCAACCAAGATTAGGGAAAGAGAGAGAAAGAGGAATGTTAGAGCGAGAGGAAGTGCAAAAATTTGGCACAGACAAGACGTCTGAACGCTACAGCCGCTCAGCGGCTACTAAGGAATATTGCCCGCAATTATTGTTTATAAAGTCAATATTTTATAGGTCGATCGAAATAATTATTAATTTTGAAATAAAGTGGTTTAAATTATTATTTTTTAATATTTGTCTAATTAAACACCTGCCCTTGAGAAAAAAAATAATTATAGCATAAATATTTTCAGCTATTGCTATGAAACAAATAGTTTTTTATGAGGCGAAAACAGCGAAATTTAACGAAATTGAGACCTCTTATTTAAGACAATGAAAGATATTTAGAAAAAAAGAAACAGCGCATTTTGGAGATGAAGATGTTTAGCTATTAACGCGCTGAATAGATTTCGCCTTTTTTATTATCGATTGCCTTATAATGGTACACGAACAAAGCTCGAAATTGCGTTGGGTGCGAGAGAGCTCTATTTACCGTTTGATTTATCTAACATAGACCACATAGATGAACCAAAAAAAAATTTAGCCATTACTTATAATCTGGGTATTTATGTGTTATCAAAATATTTTACTCTGAAACAATAATTTGCTGTAAAAAAAAGAAATCAAAGTGGCGCTAATGATTCGATGTGAGTCAACTTTAAAAGACTGTAGCCTTAAGCTTTATGTACTATATTATTTCTTAACCATTTTAGGTAAATCCTAGCAGATGATTTAAATCACCATTGACCTTGCAGGATTATGATACAGATCGTGGGAGATGAGTTTGCAATAATACTAGAAGTTAGATGACTTAACACAAGCTCATTAATTGTATTATTTAATTTATATGCATACTTTCATGACTTTGTAAACACATACCAGCCTTCTCTCTTTAGTTATCGTTATCAGTGTAAAAAAATAATGTATTCTACTGAGCTACTACTATATAGTGTTATTTTTGAAAAAGGAGCCATATTTTAAATTTAAGTTCAAATATATGAATAATGATATACAGTTATTGCAGTTTTTTTTAAAAATACTAGTAAATAAGGCTTCTGCTATTATTTGAAATTATCCCAAATTGAATGTGATTTATGGGCAACAACGTTTTTGCCTACTGATTGACCCTTACTAATGGGTGCATGCGCAGTAAAATCAGTTAAAATAATGCATTACCATGCATTTTGAATTTAAAAGATAAAAATGAGAGAATGTTTGTTTGAATTATTTTTCTTTACCATTTGCCTATATTACTTATTCTGAACCTTCTCTTGCAAATTTGGCCGATTATTCCAAATTAATCCTATTTAAAGGTGTTAAGTTAATTTAGTATTGCAATCGCTTACAGATTCATACTCTGATCTTCAGAAGCGAACACTAGCAGAAATTGAAGATATGAAACGCAAAATGGAACTAGTGGAGTTGGGCATACCTTTAGGCTTAATATGTCCCACTTCGACCAGCGAGAAGGCTATGCCTACAAAAGCTATGCCACCTATAAAGCACTTCTTAGGTATGTATTTTACAATTGTAAAACCCACTTTGGCATCTTTGCTTATAACTTAGTTTACTTATATTTTGTAATATAATGTTAAGCAAACAAAATAGCTTATTACGAATTCAAACAATGTTTTTTAATATTTTTTTATATAGAAGACTAGACAGTTACGTGTGTATTATAATTCAATGCTTTTCTTTCTGCATCAGTGCTTAGCTAAATTAATTAAAAATAGTTTTTTTTTTAAATATAAGAGTCACAGACAATGATGGTAAGGGGTTACTGCAGCCTATGAAACCTGTTGATTTTAAACAGAGGAGGCCACAGTTACTGGATGCTAGGACTTCTTTTGTGCCTAAGATTCCGTCATGGCACCACCATTAACCTATTTCTGTAGCCAATCAGCAATGTGCACTGCTGTGCGTCGGCTTGAAGGGTATAAAGAGTTAGTACAATTACAGGCTGAAAGACATTCTAAGTTCTCAGAGGTGACAACGCATATGTATCCTTCTTTTTTAATTCAAGCTTATTGCAGTTGTCTGCAGAAGTCACTTAACATCATGTGGTCTGTAAGGTAATCAGTCACTTCAATTTTCAATTTTTTTTACGTGGTAGAGCCATGCTGCAGTTATATTAGTAGTATAGTTGTAGCACGAATGGGTCGGCTCAACCGTGGAAGGACCACGCTCTCACAGAATACCAGCGTAAAATAGCAGCTTAATACTGCTGTGTTTCATATGGTGAGTCTAGAGAACCGGAGACCCTTTTTACTGGGTCTAAATGAGGCATTCCTTCTTAGTCCTCACGGGTAACAACGCATCTGCATATTGATTCGTAATCGATGATAGATGTACGTGTCTATGGGCCACAGCAACTACTTACCATCAGGTGGACTGTGTGCTCGTTTGTCACCTCATGCAACTATCATGTTCTTTCACATAATATTAGATTGACAGATGGAGCTATACCATCAAGAGCTTCACCACCATTGTACCACCAGGTGGGATTGAGGTTGAGCACTAGCTTATAATAAGTAAAAAAGAATTAATAGGAAATCTTTCGCAAACAGGTGTAATGTTATCTATGAGGACAAAGATGGAATGCTCATAGCATGTAATTATACAGGCTCTCTCACCTATCAAACAGTAATAAAGCATTAGATGCACTGGCGCTTGACATCAGAAATATTTTTTGTTGCTTTATAACTTTGATCAACAATACCAACTAGATAACGGGTCACATACAAAATCATAGCTAAATACTGTCCGCATGAATATAAACTATGAAAAGACATAAATTAAGTAACATTTAGTATGAAATCAACCTTAAGTTATAACAAATAAAGTTCTTTTTCCCGTTATTGCCTTGCGAGCTACACTCTCACGTGCAAGAGCTCACGTCTCATGTGCGCTCTTATTTACTGAGATGGATTTCTTGCGCCGACCCGACATCTAGTTGGTATTGTTGATCGAAGTTTTATACAATATGTATGTGGACCCCCGGTATTCCGGCCCCTGTTTAATCCGTCCCTCCTTGTAATCCGACTAATTATCCTTGGTAGATAAGTTAGGTAAAGTACAATAGTACAGATTAGTACTTTCTGCTTTTACGAATTCGTTTTCCATGTAGCCTTTTCAGTAAAATTTGGAATAAAACTCAAAAGTTGTGGTAATAACTTGAAAAATTTCTAAATAACATACAGCGCATTAGCTTGTTTACTTAATCAGTGATATTACGGAATCTAATATGGCGGATATCGTTATGGAGATTTGAAGCGCAGATTAAAAAATATTTTTAAAATGGAATTATAAAAGTTAGAAATCAACATTTCTCGTTTATTTTTTACAAATAAAAGTTATCATAAATATGTATTTTTAGATATTTTCATATGGTGCAAAATACCCTATTGGTACACAAAAGGTGTACGAACTTAACATATAAAATAATATAACACCTTTTAAATACCTAAATAGATAGAGTATAGTACCTTACTCTGCTGTTATAATCGCTTTTATAAAAATTTAATTTAATTTATTGTTGTTTCATAATCTACATCTAGAAACCACATTAACTTAGTTCTTTGTGAATATTTATTATTTTTGTTACGTCTTTGCTTGTTTTATTTTACTTTTTTATTGGGCATGTGCATAAAGGTTGCGGCTTTCGAGTGTACAGTGCACAGGACTGCAGATATAAACAGAACCATGCAAAAACTGAGACTAGTAAGTCTGGTACGAAGTTCAAAAGAAAAAGAAATATTTTATCTTATCTTGCAATTATTATATTTTTATTAGCATTTTATATACCTTGCTCTTTTTACGTTTTATTATGCAGCTTAAACGTAGGTTTGTAGTAGTTGCAATTATAAAAACATATTTCTATTGTAAAGTTATATGTATAATATTGTAGGAATAAAATAATTATTAGTTGGTAATGACTAATTGAATAGTTGTAAGATTTTGATTATCAAATGTAGTTAAATAGTTATATAATTTCCATTAAAAATTTTTGAACTCTTTACACTTAAATGTTTTTAGATCCGGCCAAAGTTGATGAAATTATTCGTGAAGCAAAAAAAGCAAGAGATGAAGGGAAGAAGTATAAATTTGATTATCAGAAGCTCCTCCCTAAATATGACAATCCATTTCAACGCAAAAAAGAGGAAGATAAAAGCAAAACACCTGACACTCGGAGTCGAAGTGATTTTGATAGAGATAAGAAAAAAAGTAACAGACGTGATTCCAGACGGTACTCTGATAGTCGTCACAATGACAGAGATAAATATAAAAATAGAGATAAAGAAAAAGGTAGGGATAAGAATAAAGAAAAAAATCACGACAGAGAAGATAAACAGGCCACGGATAAAGAAACTAATGTTAATTTAAACGACTACTTAGTTTGCGATAGTTGGTCCTTAGATAATGAGGATAAAAACCGTTCAAGTCCAAATTCTGAAGATAAATCCACTAAGATAACACAGACAATAAAAGATACTAAATCTGAGAAAGCTATCGTGGGACAAGCACGGGATAATGTACCAAATAACAAAGATATTATTAAAGAGTACACAATGGGACTTGTGAAGATGGAAAAACTGAAGCCAGTTATGGATTCATTTAAATTTGAAATAGATCCTAATGATGAAGAAATTCTGGATATATTTGATGCAGATTCTGGAATAGAAAAGTATGGACGTAAAACCAGGAGGCATTCTACATATTCTCCGACGGATATGAAATTGATTGACTATGAGCAAGATGACTCTAAAGATGTTTCATTAGATGATACTAATGATGATACTTTCTTAGAATCAGTTATTAATGAAATTAAGCAAGAAGATATAAATGAGGACATTAGTCAGGACAAAGGATTAGTTGAGTATGATATGTCACCAACAAAAGATGAGATGGATGTAGGTATGGGAAGCTCCCTGGAACCAAAACGACGTGTTTCTGTAACCCCAGAACTTGATGACAGAATGAGAGATATACAAAGCCAAAGAAGTGACTATTCTGAAGGGTACCGTTCTAGTGAAAGTGGATACAAAACAAGCGACACCAATGAAAGCGGATACAAATCAGTTGACAGTTACCGTTTGTCAATGGAGAAGGAGTTAGATGAAAATGTAGAGTCGAAGATGTCAAAATCAACTGTTGATTCATTGGAGACGTGGAGCTTTGTTCTTAAGATATGTCAACCACTTCTGTTTAGACACGACAAGAATAAATGTTACAGGTAAGTTAAAGTAATTTGATTGCGTTTTGTAATTTTATTGGTTTTTGATGATATCACTATATATTGATTAAAACTACTTTTACGGATTTAATCGCGTTTTATTTATTTTTAATACCCGACGTTTCGGGTGCTTTCCAGCACCCATGGTCACGGGTCACCAGTATTAAAAATAAATAAAACTCGATAAAATCCGTAAAAGTAGTTTTAATCAATGTATAGTGTTCGCGTAAATATAAAATATCACTATATATTTGCCGGCTTTGTAGCACAGTGTAAGCATATGATTGCGGCGTTGCGGGGCCATGGGTTCAAATTTTGCGTTCGGTTCTGTATATTTGTTCCTATTATTCAATTTATGTATGTAAAACGACACCATGGAAACATCGATATGCGCTTCTGCATGTACGACACCGTTACCACTATCGACATTCATATATAAATATCGGCGATATCGATGCGATTAGTGAGTTTAAAAGAAGATAAATAAGACACAAATTATGTGGGTTTAATAATATATAATCGATTTAAGAAATTGGTTATATCAGACAGAAAGTTATGGTTGTAATCTGTGCGATAAATTTTCAAAAGTTAGTAAATATTATTGTATGTTTTTTTGTCTATGTATGTGGGTTTGAGTATGTTTGTCATAAACAAGCTTTTAAAAAAATCCTTAGGTATTGTGGTGAAATGTGATTTCACAATTCGCACGAATTTATCGACGTGTTAGGCTGTGAATGGTAACTTTGTAAAGTAATTGGCATATCTAAGAAATTAGACATTTTTCGAAGGTACAACTTTGGGTAATGATATAACAGCTCCGTGGTGCAGTGGCTCAGCAATGAGTTGGAGCGCAAAAGGCCGCGGGATCGAATCGCGCACGGAACAAGTCTTTTTTATATAGGAAAAGGATGACAAGCAAGCACATAGTCCACCTGATGGTAAGTGGTTGCAGACCATATAAGTCAAAGACATCTACATCTATCCTCGTTTGCGAATCAAAATGAGGACATTGAGGACTAAGAAGGAATATCTCATTTCCAGTAAAAAGGGTCTCCGGTTCTCTACACTCACCATACGAAACACAGCAGCATTAAGCTGCTATTTGAAGCTGGTATTCTGTGAGAGCGTGGTCCTTCCCCGGTCGAGCCGACCCATTCGTGCTACAACTATACAATTAATATAGCTGCAGCATGGCTCTACCACGTAGCAAACATTTGTATGGCGTACAAAGAATTGTTCCGAATCTGGATGTTTGTCCTTGTAAAAATTATGTATGTAAACTAGTGTACCGCCACGATACAGGAGACAATGCTAGTGTGGAGGGAACGTTTGAAAACAAAAGAAATAAAAAGATAGGCAGTAAATGTAAAAAAAATGTAAAAGCGCCCATTTCACACTGGAGCAACGAGGCGGTTTGGTTCTTGGCGAAGTCCTATGCACAGTAAAGCGAATATAGGCCAGTATTTTAATTTTTACTTGCATTTTGTAATTTTAATACTATGAAATCATTTTAATGTACATTGTTAATCGAACTATGTAAACACGTGAATGAGTGCATTTATTGCAGAGAGACGCGTACGACTCCAAAGCTTTGGTACGCTGAAAACCCAAAGTTGTGCAACTGCGTGAAGGATCGTTGCGTCGTGTACAACGAGTTGCAGATGTGCAAAATGAGTCTTGTGGATAGGGTGTATGGATGTGACCAGTAAGTATTACCACAACATAAACGCGAGGTCTGTGCCGCGCCTAGGTGTACGGTGAGACTTGACTTTGCTATTTCATTGCAGACTGGCAATTACGCTACTTACAAGACTGTTTCTATCTTATGCAAATGTTGAGATTAAATATGCAAAAGAGGTTGTGTCTTGTCTTAGAATGAGGCCGTCTTCACGTAGAATAAGTGTGAATATTTGAACTATCAGGTTCAAATACCTTTTTTAGTTTTTAATGTTCTAAAATTAACACTATAGTCACAGTCTAACGCGAGGGAAGCAAAGCTCTTCCGAGCGGCAGTTAGTCGCTCGGGAACTGTCCGCTAAATTTGTAAAATAAATTAAAATGGTTCACACTTTACATGTGCGGTAAAAAACTATGTATCTGTCCTCATTTCGTAATTTTCATTTGTCGTGATTTTATTTTATTTAATTTGTTTAAACGTGAAATAAAATCATTTTTTAATTTTTTTTATTACTTCCCGTTCTGACAATCCTAGCAATTTGTTGTTTACGTCGGCTTTTCCGACAACATCAAACACGATGACTGTATGTTCTCCTTAGGCTGTGATATAGTGTAGCTATGTTTTGAACAATACTTTTTACATACCTATTATAGTGCTCTTTTTTTTGTTTACATGAGAGGTGGCAAACGAGCATGCGACTCACCTGACGGTAAGTGGTTACCGCCCATGAACAACTACAACACCAAGAGATTTGCAAATGCGTTGCCGGCGTTTTAAAAAAGAATCGGCTCTTGAAGGTCGGCGTGGAAAAATCGCTGGTGGTAGTCGATTTCACAAGGAAGCGGCTTATTCCGAACAATTCCTCATAGCACCCACCATGGTAGATGATGCGTGATTGGGATAAATGTATTTTTTTTAAAACATCGCAAGAACTGTTGTGGAATATACATCTCATGTGAACTCTGATTTCGTTTTCCATTTTGCTTGTATTAAAAGTCAGTACTCATGTAACTAATGGTTAAACTAGTCCCTCGAACTGTAGTCCTGTTTTAAAGTGTGTATTACATAAGTATTTTTTATATTAAGGGCAAACGAGCATTCGGCTCACCTGTTGGTAAGTGGCACAGCCACCGCCTATGAATAACTTTAACACCCGGTGGGGGGGGGGTATTGCAGGTGCGTTGTCAGGCTTCTAAAAAGAGTATGCTTTTTCTTGAAAGTCCATAAGTCGTATAGGATCGAAAAAATTGCTAGTGGTGGCCGATTCCACAAAGAACTTGTGGGAGAAAGAAAACTTCTGGTAAATCACACTAAGGTGGACTGCCAATCATCCAGGTGATATGGATATTTGTATTGCCGTGTGGTGGCAGCATGAGATATCCATCACCTTCTTTCGTCCCATGGGTGTCATAAGAGTCGATTATAGGAAAAGCCAGAATGATTTCCTGGCTCACGTGGCCCAGATACATGGCGGTATTACGTAAAATACCCAGATCGGAGGCGAAGAGCCGATATCAAAGGTGCGAGATGTGTGGTACTACAATTAACAATTCCCCAGCGAAGTGTAGTGACAAAGGGAGAGGCCCATGTCAAGCTATGGAGTTTTACAGGGTGATGATGATAAATTACGTTTAGTTTCTTAACTTCGACGATAAGCAGATTTACGCTTTTATAGGTGCAAATCATGTTGCCTCCGGCAGCCATTCAGCTATGTTTAAAAAACATTATTATCCTCTCAGCAGTCCGGGCCAAAATAGCCGCTTAGGCGCATCTGTCAAACCCTAAAGGAGTGATATATTGCCTACGTGGCGCGTGTCATTAAAATGGAAATATCTTAATATTTATGTATGGAAACTATATAATATGATATGTTGTTAGAATTATTGTTAAATAAGCTAATAGAATATATGTAAATGTGTACGTTCACCCTTTTGGTATGTTATAAATTCGATGGTAAAATTGCTAGAAGCGATTTTTTTCCAGTTTGTTGAATATAAAATGTAATCATTAAAAAATTAAGCAATTATTTCAATAAATATTTACTTCATTTACTATACGAAAACACACTTTACAATAATGAATAAAAAAACACAACTCTACGTACAGTTTTTTCACACCACAAGCTCGACAATAATGTGGGCCACTTAAGATGAACCGAAACAGGCACAAGAAAAGGCACATTTTGTACTTCAATATCGACGACGCCTGAGGCACAATGGGCTTTAAATCTTAACTTATTCTATAGTTTGGTCTTTGTTCTTAATATAAACAGTTTCAAATGTTACAACTATTTAGTTATTAAGAAATGAATGAGTTGTAACAAACACTTGAAAAAGTGACCCTAAAAAAATGCTTTCAAACTTTTGCAATTGTAAGGAACAATTTTGTGATTTATTTACATGTGAATGTATATTCCTAAATTTAATAACATTTCCTAAGTTAAAAACAAAACAAAGAAGGCATCTTTCATACAAAATTATGTTAGAAATCAACAACTAAAAGTTACACATTCACTACAAAAAGTACCAAGTATGACGTAGTACGCTGCTATGCTAGTATGGATACGCTCTGTGGTGACTTCTTTAATAATTATAATCATGAATATAAAATTAAAATGAAATACAAATTAGTCATTTTCATTTTTTTATGTTCTTAATTAACATTCGAATGTTATTATAAAAACCGCGAGTCCTCGGTCGTCTTGTTTCACATACAAAAAGTAAAACAATTTACTGACAAAAAATAAAACAAAACAAATAAGAAAAACAAATAAAAATCCACACCAAAAATTATCGCAAAAATATACCAACACTGGCATTCCCAAAATCGTATCCATACTATACAACCTGCTCTCTAAGATGGCGGATTTCATGTCAATAACTTTACGACCCATGTCTGTCCGCGCCCGCTAGGTGGACGCGATATTTAAGCAATTTGTTATTTTTAGTTTTATGAAAGATTTAATCGAAACTATACAATTGTAATTATTGTTATGTTTGTAAATATGTATGTTAACGATACTAAAACAATGTTTACCATACACAATTGTACTTTTAATTTAAAACAGTTGAAATTAATACGAACATGGTATCAACATGGCGGTCGAAATGGCAAGCAATGTTTGATAAAATGGAATAATTTATGTACAAATCGTCATCTAATATGTTTTAAATTAATAAAAAAGTATTTATGACTTACCCATTCATGTTTATCTTTAATATTAACTTCCGAAATCACTTTCAACAATTAATACTTTGCACGTAAACACACGACACCGCGTCACAGAACGAGCAACTGAACGGAATAAATGTATTACTATTTCAAAGCTTCTATGGTTCATATATGAAGCGTATGTGATATTAATTGCCGTCTTTGTTTAATTCTCTGCATGTTGTACTAGTTATAGGGAGATACGTATACTTTTACTAGGGCTGTTTCGAATCTGAAGTTTATAAGTAAACAGCAACCTTCTGATGGTTGTGGACAGATGCGTACTTTTTGACAGCAACCTTTAGAAGGTTTTGGACTGACGAGAGGTTATGTAATAAGTTATTACCCCAAGGAATACCACAAAACACTGCCCTGAGCCACCTGCAGTCATTCCCTCTTACCAGGTCATCATTTCTTCTAGTGGGAGGCCGTTTTACACATCGCTTCCTAAAACTAATAACAGAAGAACTTTTAATTATTGTGACATCTTCTTTACTATTTTTTTTGTTATTGCTAATAGCAATGACGTACTATTTTACAGAATACCTGATGCGCCATTTCCAAAAACCCGAAACTGGTATCCCCGTCCCCACCTGTGCCTGACTGAGAGCCATACCGTACCAGTTTCTAGCGAGTGGGAGGCGGAAGATATTGGCCAGACTGTAGACACGTGCATGTCTGCTAAAGAAGACCCCAGAAGAAGAAGATCCAACACTCCACTGCGAAGCGAAGAAGTCTTACTTGACAGGGAGTATCAGAGGTATGAACAAGTGCATATTATATCTTATTACGGGGTTCCGTGAGTAATTTAAGATTTTTTTTATAAAACTGAAAAAGTCTCTCTCTCTCTTTTTGCCCCTCTCATGACAATAGAAACAGGTATCGAGATATTTAACCCTTCACTCCCCTTAAAAATCCCATGCAGTCGCATGCGATCGCACCCACCCACAGCACTTTAAACCATTAAAAGTTCCGTGTAGCTGTGCTGTTTTACATTCCCAGCCATTAGAGGGGGCGCTCTCCCCCGTGCATAAATACGTTCGAGATCGCAGGTGAAGGTGCTCTACATCATTAAATATATAACTTATTAATTTTTTTTCCAAAAATATTCATTTTACTTTTGTCGTGATAGTATAATTTTTTACCTTTTTATATTCAATGAAAAATGTCGTTTTTAGTAATGTTTATACGCGATGTAGGTCTAAAAAGGGTATATACAACCGAAGGAAAATAAAAACTGCCTCTTCATACAAATTTCGCATCTAACTTGTACATTTTGTACTTTACTACTACTATTTTTACTGACACAAGGATATTTCTTCTTTTTTCTATCCATCTTTTTCCGTTTTTTTTTTTTTTTGGTAATAAATTATATATAAAACTTAAAATATATAAAACATACCAAATATAAAAGTCCAAGTTAATTCATCTAATACTAATATAAACACTAAAAACTAGAACTAATATGACAATTAAATAAAATAATATATAAATAAAAAGCAACAGTGAGCAACACATTTTCTCGGCGTTCAGACGTGTGCAACGTCTGAACGCCGAGAAATCCCAGCGGAACTGAGAGAATTTTCAGGCGTTACTGGTTTGTAAATGGCATATAGGTAAAAAGTACGAAAATATATACTTTTTTAATTTTATTTATTTCTAACTCACTTGAAAATAGTTCTATTTTACTTGGTTTTAAGTACGACTTTGCTACATTTATACTTCTAATAGAAAAAAATAGATATTTGCAGTAAAAAAAAATCATGAAATTACAACTTTTTAAGCCCTTCAAATAAGAAAATTAAAGCATTAATAAAAAAAAGTGACCAGATCAAATTATTGTAGACAATATGTAAATAAATGTGATCTGAATACTTTTCTTGATATTGTTGTAGTTTGTACATAGCAGAGGCTTTAATAAGACCTTTTACGCATGTAACCTTAACGCCTAATAGAGCTATTAATTTAAACACCAAAATAAAATTAAAAAACAGTTTCGAAAATATCAAATCCTACACTTTGAATAAATGTAAAATATGTTTCACTTTTTCTTTTTTAAATACTATTAAAAAAAATATTTGTTTTGCTGTAAATTTTGCGAGAACACTAATTTTTACAAGACTGGGGCCTTAAAGACTACTTTTCGATGAAGAAGTTTGGCATTATAAAATCTATACAAAATTCTCTATTCTGTGGTTTAAACAAAAGTCAGGTTTTACTTTATTACAAAAAGATTTTATTGTATTTTGATAACAAAAAAATACATACCAAGCGGATGTAGAATTTATTTACGTAAAACGATAAATTATATTCACACAAAAAAACTTTTATTACAATTTTATAATAAAACACTATACTAAAACACTAATAAAACACTAGAAAAGTCCAAAAATCAACACGATAACATTCATACAAAAATGGCGTGTGAAATGAACATAGATTATAAATAAATACGCATAAACTTACTGACTTTTTATTCCACTAGAGGATAGAAAATTTCATATTGATTCTATAATGCCAAACTTCTTCGTAGAAAAGTAGTCTCTAAACATAAGTAATGATGGGTTAAAGTGCTGTGGGTGGGTGCGGTCACATTTGACCTCTTGAATTTTGACGGAATATCGAAGCGGTCAAAGGGGGATGCCCATTTTCGGCCATGGAACGCCCAACAATGTGCATTTGTTAAAAAAATATATCTTTATTTATGGTTATTAATCGCGGTATTCATTTATCCTAAAAAGATGGGAATATTTTTGCACAAATTAAAAGTACCGAAAAGATAAGAATAAAATTAGGTAAATCATTAATTCATTAGTTTGTGAATAAAATAAAAAGTGTTGCCAATCACAAATCTCATTAAAAAATCGATTCCCCTTTTTGATCGATTACTTATGGTGTCATTATTACAATGCTAATATAATTTTTCGATAATTATTATGATGTTACGATATATATTTAAAAGGACCGTTGACAATGGATATTTATCCAAAGCAGCCGATACGCAACCGTTATCAACCAGTTGTTTATCCGACTACAGACGAAAAAGGATGGTTATGTTTTTACTGTGTGTGCGGGTTAGGCTATGTTGAATCGTTTTTTGTTATGGTGCTTAAAAACGTAGGATGCATTTTATTATAGAGGGCGCTACTATCAAAGTAAAATACTTGACCAACTTTGAGAATTCTTTCACCACTAAATTGTTATGTATAATTTTAGATATCTAATATAGGATGAATTTTATTATAGAGGGCGCTACTTTCAATGAATACGTTTTTTGGCTAATCTCAAAAATTACTAGACCGATTTTGAAAATTCTTTCACCATTACATTGCTAATGAGGGCATTAGTTGTGTGATAAAATTATATTATTACAATAATTAATTGTGAGATTAATATTTTCTAAATAAATAAAACTAAATACCTACCTAAGATGTTCAAATCCAATTATTATTTTTACAATTTAATAATCGTATTTGCACACTTTACTTACTCAGATTGATTATTATAGATAAAGAGGTAATAAATCTAAAGTAAAAGAGCTCCGCTTAAACGAAAAAACTATTTATTAAAATAAAACTAAAAGTTGAAAAAAAACTGGTTCAGTGCGAGTCGGACTCGCAGACCCATGAAGAGTTCTGTAGTAACAAGCATATATTTTAAATCGAGTCAAAAATACCACTATCATTATCGCCAGCAACAAATTATTTTGTTTTTCATAGTGTTTGTGTTAATAACAAAGTTGTTTTTGCGGTTCTTTAAAATGTGCTACTTGTATCTAAAAAAAAGGACTATTATACATTATACGGGTTTCTGTGCTTTATTCATTACCAAAGAGAAAAAACTTATTGCACAAAATGGGTTTTTATCCATTTCAAGTCATCAAAAGCGGTAGTCAACCGTTAAAAACAAAAACAACCGTTGTTATAGGCTCGGTTGAAATCGATGACAACCTTCACATTTATAGTTATGATAATTAAACAAGCGAATTACTACCTGATTTACCAAGAATTCTTTAGAGTATAACAAAACGCTACTGCACAATTTAACTGTTATTCTTATCTGTTCTTAACATAACATTTAAAATGGAATTATGTTATGATAATTCAAGAAGTTAATTTCTAGCTGATTTACCATGAATTCTCTAAAGCATAACAAAACAATACAGCACAAGTTAACTGTTCTTAAAAATACGTTTGAAATAGAATTTCAATAAATAAAGGAAATTATATTTTAAAAAGCGTGCAGAACTTAAAACGCGTCAAAGATTATTCTTTTTATGATATTATTAATCGAATAAAAATCGATATCGTTTCATAGATTTTATGACAGTTAAGTGGCAACATCGAATCTGACAGGTAGGCCCCCGTCACTGTTATGTCACAAGAATTCAATTGCGTGTTATCGTGTTATTTTGTTTTGTTGGAAAATGCAATTGTTGATCTCTCAACAATTGGATATAATTTTGGAGGTAAGTGTTTAACATTTTTCAATTTATTAAGTGTGATGCTCATATCTGATAATTATACATGTTTTTACACTGATTGTATATCAACTCAAGAACTTGTTTTATTTTTTCACATCTGCACAAGCTATATCTGACAAACATACTAGCTTATTTATGAGATTGACCATTTTTATCAACTACCAAGAAAGGAGACCGTTGATTTTTCATTGTTTTTGGACTGCTGGTAGTCTGTCAGGTCTTAATTATTAAATAATATAGGGCATTAAGTCCATCCTTATGCAGTAACATTTAACTTGATAAATATTTTATTTATATTTGAGTTTAAAATAAACAAATCTAATTTTTTTTCACTTTGACTTCATTTTTTGTATTTTACATTATTTCAGTTGCCGTTGTCATGCCGTGTGTATCATAATTGCTGGCAATGAACTGATAGAACAGCATCACATTCAACTGCAGAACGGGAACCATCTGAATCATCTAGTCCATCCTCGTTGCAATCTGAAGTGAGTAATGTATTGCACCCAAAACAACAAAGCTTAGATCATACATCACACAGTGTACTGCTAACTAATTATTTAAAAGCGCCACTAACACCAAATCAATGTTTTTTACCTGGTTGTAACAATTCCAATGGACTCAATGTTCCATCAGCATTGCGAGTATGTCTCTTTTGTGATTACAATTACTATGTACGTGTGTTATACGTGGTAGAGAAATGCTGCAGTTATATTAGAAGTATAGTTGTAGCATGAATGGGTCGGCTCGACCGGGGAAGGACCACGCTCTCACAGAATACCAGCATGAAATAGTAGCTTAATGCTGCTGTGTTTTGTATGGTGAGTGTAGAGAACCGGAGACCCTTTTTACTGGAAACGAGAAAATGATCTTAGTCCTCACGGGTGACAACGCATCTGCATTTTGATTTGTAATAGAGGATAGATGTGGATGTCTAAGGGCCGCAGCAATGTCTCCAGCAGATGGTGAATCTCAGTTAATGACAAGATATGCTAATAAATCCAGAGCCGTGACTATGTGTCGATATGAGTAGTAGAGGTGGTGAATGGCATTTTTAAAACTGAATTTAAAATATTTCATCAAAATTACTATAACAGGGCTTCTACACATTTGATGATAGACTGCTGTGGCTGCTGCTATAATTAATAAATTCCACACAAAAATAAGGGACAGGGATGATGCGGCTCAAATACTTGAAATAGTTCACCAAAATATGGAGAAAAATAATGATTTGTCTGAGTATGCTAGGGAAAGCAATCTAAATAGAGCTAGGGCAGGCAGACTTTAGAAATATAAATGTAGACTTTAAAATGTTAGGGAATTTCCTGTTTTAACTTACAGCGACTTAATATTAATTGCTTGTGTCACATACCAATTAAAGCAAGCTCGCTACTATTATGGTGAGCATATAAGATTTAATGGTTGCTACCGGATAGAACTCTGTGATAACCAGAGGAGCAGCATTATGGAAGGAATAAACTTAAGCCCTAGCTGATCTTTACTTAGGGCTAGAATTGCAAGTCATCACCATTAGTCGTAAAGTGTATTTTATATATATTTTAATTAGTGGCAATGGTTCTGGTAGAAGTGCAATTAAAAAGTACTGTCGGCCGTCGAACTGTTGGATGCTGTGCCCATGTTATGACAGTAATATGGTATTTGGGTTGGGCACGGCATCAGACTAATATTTTGCTTCCTGCTCAGTTCCTGAATGATGTATTGATGTGTAAATTAGAGGCAAATAATTCCTTAGCTTTCCTAGATGCGTTAGTCATCCAAAATTCTAACAACACCATAGGTCACACTGTGTATAGAAAACAATGAATTTCGCCATTATCCTTCACAGTTAGTTACCGTGAGCAAATCTTTGTTACAGGGAGCACAAGGGATCTGTGGCAGCAAACATCGAGCCGTCGAGCTTCAGCACGTCAAGCAGGTTCTGCACGTCAACAAGCTTCAGGCCCGCGCTTACGTCACAGTGACCGAGTGAAGCCGGCCACAGTCAAGCATGTGCAGTACTAGCATTTGTCAGGGGTGTCGCAGACAAGATTGGCTACATCTTGAAGCGAGCTGACATGAAGCATCAAGGTTCAGGGAAGTTTGCAGTTTGTGATCATATCCTGGACGGCCCCAACCAGATAGACGTATAAAAAAGATTTGATAGACCACAAATCCTCTAAAAGGTACATCAATTCCTATCAAGGACCGATACCTGAGACTATTGAAATAAAAAAAAATTCAATAGAGAAGGAGGCTTGGTACTACCACCTGCTTAAGACCCTGTAATTAATGAAATTAAAATTAAACCCAAGCATACCATTGCAAGACTTCAAGACACAGTAAGTTCATTCTGTAGATCGGATCATAAATAAAAATTAAAAATCTGAAGGTACTCAGGGTTAACACTCACATTGGGACGTCAGTCACCTCAGTCCGCCGTAACCATGGGTGTTGGAAAGCACCCGAAAGGTCTGGAATTAAAAATCAAAGAAATAAAACGCGATAAAATCGATAAAAATAGTTGTTAAAAAAACTGCATTTGTGAAAATAAAAACTTATATATCTTCAAAACCCCGACTTTTTTTAAAGCAATTCCTTAACCATTTCATTGTTTTAATTGCATATTATCATATCTATATGCTTTTATATGTGGGCACCCATGGCCGAAGTGTCTATGAAGAGTGGGCAATCCCCTTTGGACGCTTGCCGTTTCAGAGGTTAATAATTCAAGTAAGTGAAAGTCGACGATTATGAGTAAAAGTAAAAGTTATAGCATACGTCTCTCCAAAATGAGAGGAGGCCGGGCACAGGCATTCTCTCATTTCTGAGAGTGTTTTAAGGAAAGGAAATGTTCGCCTTGATGCCCCATCATTGGTGCCGGCGGTGATCGAACTCGGGTTGCACGCGTACTATGAAATTTACAGCGAGCGATGACCCCAGAGCTACCACGGCTCAGGGCTAAGCGTAAGTTTTTATTATGACAATATATTTCATTGCAGATTTATGAAAGCTGTGTGGCCAGAGGTTGCCGAGACTAAAACTGAAAACTCACGAAGCACGACTCCAGTAAGACAAGATGGGAGAAAGAAGAAAAAAGAAGAAGTCGAGAAAGAACCGGAAGTTAAGAAACCGGTTAAGAAAGTCAAATTGAGTAGTGAAGGTTGGAGCCAAGAGTCTGATATAGAAGAGGAAGCTGATAAAGGGTATTTATTCTTTTTTTATTTATTTAAAATTTAAATATGACACTAAGGATACATCGGTTGAACTTAATGCCAGAAGGCATTTCTGCCAGTCAATCTTGGTGGTTGAAAAAATGAACAGTTAAATAATATAAAGATCGATAAATAAAATATAATAATAAAATAATGTATAGCCAATAGTAAACACATTCTTGACTTCGCAAAATTCATAATGCAAAATATTTTCTCAAAATTATGATTTTTTGCCTTGTTGCAATGTTAGTGCATGTGATTGGGTGCGTTTGGCAGAAAAAAGCGCTAGCAAGCGCTTGTAAGCAAAATGGCGAAACTAAACAGTTTGCGGCCAGGACACGTTTGCTAACTTCAGTAGCGCTGACACAATCCGCCATTTTGCTTATTTAATTTGTTTGTTTTGAAGTAGAGTTTATAAGTTGTTTTGTGCAATATAAGTTTTAAGTAATATAGATAATGACATGAATAAACATATACATGTTATTAAAAATTCATGATTGGTAAGTTTTTAATATGAATACTTTACAAACATATATTTAAATTAGGTTAGGTTCCCCAGTTAAAACTAACTTCGTGTCCTAGAGGAAAATGGCTACTTACGATTTGACAGCGCTTACCGCTTACTATCGCCATTTTGCTTACAAGCGCTTGCTAGCGCTTTTTTCTGCCAAACGCACCCAATAATAGTACATGTGTCGTGCGACGTTGCCAGATCGCGAGAATGCATTGTGAGCGCCAACGACGTTGTCACTCCGAATGCTTTAGAACACTATACTCCACCCTCACAGTAATTACTAGCATTGAGTCCTAAAATAAAAACAAAATTCTTATAGCTTAGCTTTATATACTTAAGAGTTTAATGTGGTACAAAATAAGATAGCTATATTGTTCTTATCTTCTTTCCTTTATAAGGTTGTTGTCGTTTTGCCATTTCGTAGACACCAATATTGATGTGCCATTTGCAAAACAAAATTCGTTGTCGATAAATTCATTTAGTCTATGACTCAGTAAAGGAAATGTATGAAATTGGGTGCTCGACATCGTTTGGAACAGTTATACGAAAATATGTACGTAATAAAACAATAAATTATATGCATAATTAAATGGTTTTTATTTCTGTTGTACTTGAGAACAGTCATAAAAACAATTTTTAAACTGAAAAACGAAAGCTAGTGCTTTTACTATAGCAGAAACAAAATGTTATTAAATATGGTGTATTTTGTGCGTAGACAGAGAAACCTATAGATAAATTGACGCCTTCTTTTGCATTCGCACACGAAAAGATAGATTTATGCATATGTCTTGCATAGAAATGAGACAGAGCGGTGTGATTGTTTGCCCTTTCTCCATGCCGGTTCTTTTATTTAGCAAACTACTCCTTTGCGAAACAACTTTGACAGTTCGTAGCGATCGAAGGAGTTTACAAGTTCGTTTAAGTGAGAAAAAAGTGTTTTGTGAGCTTAAGATTGGTGAATCTTGTTCAGTTCAGTTCTTGAACAATAATTTTTTTATTTAAATACGTTTAAAAGTCATAAAGATTAAAAGATTATTGTATAACCTAAAACTACGTTATCGTCCTTTTTCACTCGAGGCCACTCTAATCATTAGTCTATAGGTTTCTCTGTCCACGATTTTGTGTATGGTAATAGATAATGACTGCTTTTTATTAAGATTTTTGGCTTGAATGCTTGTCCTTTAAGCCATGTCTTCAGTTCGGGATCTTCGTATTTAGAAGATTTTTAATACAATATGTTGATGTGACACATTGTGAGATTTTGACCACAGTCACTGAAGTTCATAAGACTCTTAAACGAATAAAACAACTTGGGGCTTATATCAACATCTCAGCACTTGATTCGTCATTTTTGCTAATAGTTCACATGCGCAGACACTTAATACACAAAATTGCATCACTTTTACGTATCAAATTCCACTTCTAACCATTTAAACGATAAAACTGAACCGACATTAGAGTTTTCGACAAATCTCCATAGTTTTTTACATTAAAACATCCACAGTGTGATATGGGGTAGTGGATATTCTTACATTGCCACTACACGGTTGCTTACTACACTACAAAATATTTTTTAAGTCAAAACCTCTTTTTCTTAACTATGTATTTATTTAAAAAAAATCGTTTATTTTATTTGACAGGCCTGTTGGTCTAGTGGTTAGTGACCCTGACTGCTATGCCGGAGGTCGTGGGTTCGATTCCCACCCAGGACAAATGTTTATGTGATGAGCACGATCATTTGTTCTGTGTCTGGGTGTAATTTATCTATATTTATGTATTTAGAAATATATAAGTATGTTTATCAGTTGTCTAGTACCCATAACACAAGCTCTGCTTAGCTTGGGACTAGATGGCGTTGTGTGATAGTTGTGGAATATTATGGGGTATCTATATAGTTTTCTCATCTGGTTGGGTTCTATAAATATATAATTATAAATGAAAAGATAAATATACATAAATATCAATAACATAAAATAAATATAAAAGTACATAAATAAGTAAAAGCCCAACCAGATGGAGGCCCTCGGCAGGGGAGACCAAACGGCCGAGGGTTAGGGGGAAAGGGAAAGAAACCGGCGGACGATGCGGGCGGTATCGAGGAGCACCGCCTTCTGCATTTGAACCTGGAGCGGTCCGCCACGTAGTCCCAGCCGCCTCAGATGACCCGAGAGGCTGACTGGGATTAGCCCGTTTGCAGAGACGACTACAGGAATAATTTCGGTCGGCAGACCACCCCACATGTCGGTCACCTCGTGAGCCAGGTCCAGATATTTTGTTTGCTTGTCTGTTTCGGCTTTCACGAGGTTCTCGTCATACGGAATGGTAATGTCGACCAAAAATATCCTTGACTGTGCCCGGTCCATCAGCACAATATCAGGCTTATTCGCAAGAATAGTCCTGTCAGTGATGATGGCCCGGTCCCAATAGAGCCTGGCGCGATCATTTTCGAGCACGGCTTCCGGCAAGTACTTGTAATACGGCAATTTCCGATCCACGAGACCGTATTTCAGAGCGAGCTCCTGGTGTAGAATTCTGGCTACTAGGTTGTGCCTGTGCAAGTACTCAGAGTTAGAAAGCGCCGAACAACCGGAGATAACATGCCTAAGTGACTCACCGGGATGGCGACAAGCTCGATAGATGTCGACGGTGCCATCCTTTAGGATGTATCTCCGATAGTTGTTGGTCTTAATAACCTGATCCTGTATTGCACAGACAAAACCCTCGGTTTCCCCGAAGAGATCACCAAAGCGTAGCCAGTGGAGGGAGGCTACTGTGTCTACGAAAGGCTCATGTAGAGCCTTGTAGAACCTCCCGTGGAGCTCCTCTCCTTCCATAAGGTCTTCTGGTAAGAAATTCTCTGTACTGCCGGGTCTAGCCATTCCTTGTTGGTTAAGGATAGAGGGGTAAGTCCTTTATCACAAGAAATGACGTCCTTATAGAATGGATCATCCGATCTCGCCAGGAAGTAATCACGGAGGCTGCAACTTCGCGATTATGCATGGTGAGCGCACTCAAGAAGCCACGACCCTTGCTTCCGCGGCAAGTACAGCCTCATTACCGACGATCTCGGATGATGCATCCTATGGGACGTCATGGTAGTGCGGACTTTTCTATCCAGGGCGTTAAGTTCAGTCTGAGTCCACCTGAGTATGCCAAAGGTATACATGAGGACAGGCATGACCCAGCCGTTATATGCGTGTGCCCTATTCACACCGGACAAAAGGCTGTTAAGCACTTTGGTCAAGCGTGCATAAAACACGTCGCAAACTGACTGTTTCATACCAGCCTCATCGATACCGATGTTCTGTGACATACCCAGGTATCGGTATGTTTCAGCCTCGGAAAGGGTTCTTAAGTTGACGGGCATAGATAAGTCTATGCCCTCAGAGTTAGCAACCCTTCCCCTTTCAACATGGAGGACCGCACACTTATCGGTCCCCAGCTCCATTCTAATAGAATTGCTAAATTCACACGTGATGTTTAGCAGTTCCATAAGATGGGAGCGACTGGAGGCGAATAATTTGAGGTCATCCATATAGAAAAGGTGGGTCACTTTTGTACCTCCTTTCCGAAGCTGAAATCCCCTCCCGGAGCCCTCCAGTAAAGTACTGAGAGGGTTCAAAGAGAGGCAGAACACAGAATAACCCCGCCCAAGCCAGGACCCCCCCCCCCACGCTCGAGGAAGTCTCGAACTGTACAGTCAATCTTGTACAGCTCGAGGACCCTCTTTAGCCATGTATGGGGCACCGAGTCAAATGCCTTTCTGTAATCTATCCAGGCGGCGGAGAAGTTCCGACGGTTGCGTTTCACCACTTTGCCAATGACCGCGTCAATGAGGAGTGGTTCCTTGGTTCCACGACCGCCGCCCCGACATCCATTTTGAGCGCGCGACATCACCTGATTTAAGTCCAGGTGACGAGCGATTCTTGCGCTCAAAATGGATGTTTGATAGTGTCTTGTATATGGTCGGTAGACACGTGATGGGGCGGTATTTGCTCGGGTCTGTGGCACCCTGATCTTTAGGAACCAAATGAGTGATCCCAGTAGTGAAGAGGCTTGGGAGCGACTTCTGGTTGAGAGCCTCTTGAAACTGTCGGGCGAGCACAGAGTGACACACCATGAACCCCTTCAGCCAGTAGTGATACAGCCCGTCAAGCCCCGGACTTTTCCAGTTCGGGGCCCTACGGACCGCCTCAGCTACGTCATCCGGCGTTATGATGACGGGGTCCATGGGCATAATACTCGCACACTGACTCGCCACAACTTCCGTCCAAGGGCCCTCGTTGTGGTTTACGGGCTCTGACCACAGGCTGCGCCAGAATGCGACCATGTCGGCCTGATTTGGTGCAGGGCCCGTTCCACTTACTATTGGTCGCTCCAATGATTTATAGAGCCTCTTCTGATCACTCTGGAAGAGACGATTCTGGTTGAACCGTGTCGACCTCTCGGTATATCGCCGAATCCGCTTTCCCCAAGCAGCTATTCTTTGCTTCAGGTCGTCTATGCGCTCCGTCAGTTTTTGCATTATATCCGGCTGGGACAAACTAACATTTGTCCCAGCAAACGCCATCCTGACGGTGCGCACAATCCTTGGCCTGGTATTGCCTGACCTGAAGCATATCAGTCTGCCGATGAGGGCCCTAGCCTTTGCGATACGTTCTTCAATTCTTATTCTCCAGGCTGGAATAGCACTACTTTGTCCAGTAGCGCGTCCAGCCGTGGAAAGTTTGGCACCTATAATACGGCAGACTGCCAGTGCGGCGCCAAAAACAAATTTTCGAGAGTCTAAGCGCCACCCCCAATCCCCGGCGCCGCCCCCCTTTAACAAAAAACACCCTGCCACCGCCGCCCCCCCCCCCCGCCCTCAGCCGCAGCATTTTCACCCGATGAAGGAACAGCCTCACGTCGTAGCCGTTCGAGTTCGGTGACATCAAATGTATTTGAGCACAAGATATACCGAACTCGGTCTGCCAGGTTTTGCTCGGTGACGGTTACAGATGGCTCCAGCTCAGCAAAAAGTCGATGCATCCTTGCCCGATACGCAAAACCTCCAGTTTCTCCCCCTTTCGCCCTAAAATACGCCCGCAATGCGGTGCTGTTCATCTGGGTTGTCCAACGCATGCGGCGTACTCCACCAGTGGCGGGTGCCGATTGCTGAGCCCGCGAAGACCCTGCCGACACCAAGCCAGCTGGTGGGGATGATGGATGCGAGGAGCTGCTGGGTGGTCGTGCAGCACCTCGCGCTCGGCTGGCGGTTCGCATGCTGTCGCGTCCAGCGCCAGCTCCAGACGCGCCCTGGCGACCTCCAGGCAGCGGCCATTTGCGCGTTCCATTTGATTCCATCATCCATTTTAGGGCGTCATTTAGCGGGAGACGCCCAGACCCGGCGCCGTTTCATGGTTAGGCCATGTACACAAGCGGGCCTTGGCACCTTCAATTTTTGCCGAGGCACGGCACTAACACCTCTTGAAATTATTATTATTATTTTACAACTTACTTTTAAAGCCAAATGTATCTGATTTTTTTTTATAGAATCAGGGTGACAAAGAAGCACACAGTCCATCTAATGGTAAGTGGATGCTGTGGCCCATGGATATCTACATTTATCCTCGATTAAGGATTAAAATGCAGATGCGTCGTCACCCCTGAGGACTATGATGTAATGCGTCGTTTCCAGTAAAAAGTAGTAAAACGGGTCTCCTGATCTCTGCACTCACCATACGAAACACAACAATATTAAGATATTCTGTGAGAGCGTGGCCCCTCCCCGGTCGAGCCGACCCATTCGTGCTAAAATCATCACATTGCTGCAGCGCGGCTCTTACAGGAAACGATAGCTAACTAGCTTCATGCTTTATTTTCATTGATTAATCATTTTAACAGTCAGTATAAAGTTCACTGCTGAACATGGGCCATGGCATTCATGTTTCTAAATAATAATTGATAGAATCTGGCGTTACTTTGCGGAAATCCATTAATAATAAATAAAAAATAAAAGAAAAATTAATTACCCCAATGATGTGTCTTACCTTGATTGAAGAGCACCTCCCGCCCTCCCTCAATTGCATGCACTAACTCCGTCACCACTAGTCCAAGCACCACTACTCCCAACACCACTACTCGCGGCACCACTACTTCCAACACCACTATTCCAGGTAAGACACACCATTGACGACAATACGACACGTGTTTCGCCTCTACCCGAGGCATTCTTAGGTGATGTAGACTCTACGGCGACTGACCGCCACGGTCCGTGCGTATATATATATATATATATATATATATATATATATATATATATATATATATATATATATATATATATATATATATATATATATATATAATACGTTAAAAGTCGCCCCATTGCGGACTAGTTGCAAACATCCGGATAGTGAAAAAAAGATCTGCGTGGAAAAGTGTATAACGAGGCGATATTGAGAACGGCTAAGGTTTGTGTGCCGGACAGGTACGTGTGGCGCCGGAAGCGGCCGCCGCTGTTCGCGGTACCGCGCGCACGCACCAACCTTCTAAAGGAGGCCCCACTGACCCGAGTGCTGCACACTCTAAATAAAGTAGCACAGGGTATAGATTTATTCTGCTGTTCCTTGGGTGGATTCACAAAAGTGACATTATATGTATTGTGTTATAATAGTTGATAAATTATGTTCTGTACTTATTAAATTAGATAGTTTTATGTGCCTACACTGTCGTATTAGGAATGCCTGTAAAGACAGAGGTAGAAATGAATAAATAAATCTTTGACTACTTGAAACTATGTCGTCATTTGCAGTTTACACATTTTCAGGGTCAACTATCCCATTAAATTGTTACACTACCTCCACTAAAAAATTGTGTTATATTTGCTAGTTTCATATTTATTAAAAATATAACAATGCTTAGTTTAGTGCAGTTATTATTAAAGTAGTACTGTTTGTTAACTTAAATAAAATAAAGACTATGTAGCATGCCAATGTATTTTAAGTCCTGTTTTTTTCTTTTATTAGCAAGAAAATGAAGATAGACAAAGATAAACTTCGCAAACGGAAGCGCTCTTCGTCCACGTTCTCATCGCTTTCGGGGAGTGAATCAGACGAGAAAAAGAAAAAGAAATCGCTCAAAAAGAAGGCAAGTACAGTTGTCTGATTTTTATAACTTATACATACAATGCTTTTATTAAAAAATATTACCTATAGGTATAATTAAAAATTTATTAATTCTATTTATATATCCTATTGTAAAATATAACCTATTTGTTAATTTTACCAGTTGGTTTAAAAAAAAAATCAACAATGATTCTTTCTTGCGTAGAAAAATTAAACATTGTTTACATTTGTAAAAATGCTTAGCTTTAACAATTGCACCCTTTGTTAAGTTGTATGAAACCCCAATATAAAGATATGTGGTAAAGTCATGCTGGGGCTATATTATGATTGTAGCACGAATGACCTGGAAACGCCCACGTTCTTACAGAATACCAGCGTAAAATAGCACCCTAATGCATGAATTATACGTGGTAGAGCCATGCTGCAGTTATATCTATACATATAATAAAATTGTAGAAAAGTGTCTGTACAATGGAAATATAAATTGTAATAATTTTTTTGTCTGTTTGTCTGTGTGTTTGTGCACGCTAATATCAGAAACGGCTTATTCGATTTAGATGCGGTTTTCACTAATATATTGTAGTAAGCTTCACTTAACATTTAGTGTTTATTTCATGTCAATCGGTTCATAAATAAAAAGTTATGTCAATTTAAAGAATCACGGCGAACATTTGTTAAGGTATTCTATCAGAGTACGTACGCCTCGCGCCTGCGCGTCCGTGGCTATATAAAGTGCGCTGGGAGCCGCGTCGCTGCCATAAGGATTCAGTTATTCGTAGCGAACGCATCCTGGAGAGTATAGGCGAATAGTTGCATTCGATTATTGCAAATCACTTGAATACTGACTGTTTGCATATTTTAGGGTTTGTAGGTTAGGTTCTTTTTCTTAATTTTCTTTAAAACTTTGTATATAAATATTGTAAGTATTTGGTATAGGTTAGGCGGTTCTTTCCTTGATTTCTGGGTATTTACTTATCTTAATTTTTATTTAGGGTTTGTAAATTAATATTGTAAACATTTGTTATAGGTTAGGCATTTCTTTCCTTGATTTTCGGTATACTTATCTTAATTTGTATTTAGGGTTTGTATATAAATATTATAAGTATTTGGTATAGGTTAGGCATTTCTTTTTTTCTTTATTAAGTATAAGTTCATTAGCTCAGGTTAGTAATTGATTTTTCTAGCAATTCTTTTGTTTTATAAAGTTAGTACGTTTGGTTTACACATCTTAACACTTATTACTTAAACTGTGATAATTTTACACTGTATAATAATCTGTAAGTATTTATAATTTAACTGTTTACGATAGTACGTGTTTACTAAATAACTGTGTGTTAAGTAGTAAGTACTATTTTATTGTAAGAATGCCTCGAAGAAAATCCAACCTCTCCCAATGTAGCAGAAATGCTAAAAGGATGAGGAATCTGAGGAAGGTCGTGAGGCAAAGCTCTCTGCAACTCGGGGAACATCAGGCTAGGTTTAGTGCTGCAGAAACTTCGACTCCGCGAGAATCTCGACTGAGTTCAAATCGTTCTCGAATGATGACAACTCGAAATAGGGAAAACGGGGAACAACGAAAGGCACATTTATCTGTCGATCGCGAAGCTCACGCGTTATCGCGTGAGTCTGAGACTTTTGCTGACAGGAAAACCCGCCTGAGCTCCCAGAGAGTACGGACAACAAATGCTCGATCCCAGGAAATACAGGAAGAACGAGAAATACGTCTCACTGCCGTACATGAAGCTCAAGCACTATCGTGTGAGTCTGAGACTCACTAATAGGGAAATTCGTCTGAGTTCTCAGAGGGTTCGGATAGCAAATGCTCGGTCTCAGGAAATACAGGAAGAACTAGAAATACGTCTCACTGCTGATCGTGAAGCTCATGCACTATCGCGTGAGTCTGAATCAGAGCTCTCAAAGAGCACAACTTTGCGGTCTAGAGAGCTGGAAAGTAGTTTCGATCGTGAATCTCGATTAACAGCTGATCGAGAGTGACACAACAATAATAGACTTCTTGAAAATGATGATGAATATCGACAAAGATTACAAACAGCTAGAGAAAACTATGAGCAAACCCGTCAGAGCGAGTAAAATTATTTATTAGCTGAGAGAGAACGAGTAAGGGAAATTCGGCAAGAAGAAACTGCAGACGAACGCCAGTCACGGCTGAATGCCGATAAGATCGAATTGCGCATACAATCTATAGAATGGTGTCAAGATCGATAGAAGAAGTAGAAAGTGGAGCGGAGATTGAAATCCTACCATGGGCGAACCAAGAGAAATAGGTTATTCATATTCGCCCAGAATTGAATTACTCTGAATTTGCCATTATAGGAGTTATGGTGGTATGTTGTCAATTTTGTGATGCCTTAAAATGGCAAAAAGAATCAAATGGCATATGCTCTTCAGGTGGCAAAGTGCTCATTGAAAATTTCCGTGAGCCTCCAGACATTATAAAAGCTTTACTAAATGGGGAACATCCTCAGTCAAAACATTTTTTATACAATAGCCGTTTGTAATATAATAGTGCATTCCAAATGACATCTTTTAGGGCCAAAAAAATCACAGAGGGCCCTTTCATGCCGACTTTTAAGGTGCAGGGCCAGATTTATCACCTTATTGGATCTTTGCTTCCACAAAATGAGCCCAAATTTCTTCAAATTTATTTTGTATCAAATTACAATGAGCAAGCTCATATCCGACATGTTAACTTTCCTCGATTGAACATCGAACTTATATCTTAACTTCAAAATATGTTACATCAAGTAAATCCGTATGTCAGAAGTTTCAAAGCTGCAATAGATTCCATCACATAAGGCCAAAATAATAATTATAAAGTTATAATGAATGCTGATAGACGTCCTGTGGAAGAACATCATGGAAGGTACCAATGCTCCTGTTGCAAACGAAGTTGCAGTAATCTTAGTCGATCAGGAATGTGATAGACGTGATATATTATACACTCACCGGCACGGAAACTTGGCCACTCGTGAATTTGCTGATTATTTGCACTGAAACGTTTTTTTAACAGTAAATTAAGGGTAGATGCATTCAATAATTGTCTCTAATGGTTTTAGAACATAGAAATTTAATGTTTACTTCACCGAAATTTTTCTTTTCAAGATAACATGTTTTCACTAAAATTAACATCTTTCCATTGTCACTTTAAAAACACTACAAAGTTAAAAATTAAGTCTGTTTCTTTATTGTCTGTCAGTTTTAATATCGGGTGTTTCCTCCTCTAGCCCTGATAACCGCTTGCATTCGATCTGGCATGCTTTGAATGATGTTTCTGACATCAACTTGCGGTATGCTGTCCCAAGCGGCCAGCGCTGCATTTCGGAGCTCATTTAGAGTTTGTGGCGGTTTGGAGCTGGACTTTATCTTTCTTTTGAGCATACCCCATACATGCTCAATTGGATTTAAGTCCGGGCTACGAGCTGGCCACTGTAATTTTTGTATTCCAACCTCTTCCAGATATTCCTCTACACAATGTGCGACGTGCGGGCGTGCATTATCGTGCATGAGGAGGAATTGGTCGTGTCCAATGAATCCCGAATAAGGCATTACGTGCTCCTGAAGAACTTCCTCGATGTATCGAGTAGCTGTAAGCCGATTATCGACGATGACCAACTCTGTACGTGCGTCGGAACTTACACCTCCCCATACCATTATTGAGCCTCCATGGAAACTCACAGTTTGGGTGGTGGTAATGGGTAGAAACCTCTCTCCTCTTTTTCTCCACACTCGTTCTCGACCGTCTGGAGCACGTAAAGCTATTCGACACTCATCTGTGAACAACACTCTAGCCCATTGCTCGTGGGTCCAATTGACATGTTCTCTTGCGAACTGAAGTCGGGCTACTCGGTGCTGTCTGAGAAGTTCTGGACCTCGTGCTGGTCTACGAGCTTTTAAATTCACTTCCTCCATTCGTCTTCTCACCGTACGCTCACTAACATTAACGCCTCTTGCGATTTGGAGCCGCTGGCGTATCTCAACAGCGGTCAGGTAGCGGTTTCTCAAAATCTCCATAACAATAAAACGATCGTCCCGGGCCGATGTGCACCTTACGCCCCCACTGCCTGGCCTGCGGGTGTAGCGGCCTGTCTCCTGGTATCGTTTCAGTGAATACTGCATTGAGGACCGTGGTACGTTAAGCACAATAGCAACTTCACGCTGTGTCAGCCCTTGGTCAATTAATGCTACTGCTTGTGCAACTTGTGCTGGTGTTAATGGCATTTTTATTGGCTTTAAAGCACCTTTAGTTATTTAATTAAGACACAAGATCACAGTAATTGAATAACCTTAAACTTTTCACAACACACAAATTTAAAATGTGAACTTAGTCGCTCAAATGACCCGATTCAACTAAAAATTAAAGAATTCGTCATGGTGCACTTAAACATAATGAATTACCCTCTTGAACTTGAGGGTAAACATTTTTTGACATACTTGCATAACAAACATTCATCAGAAACACTTAAAGCTTTTGCTATCGCGAGATAACCGCTTGGCCAAGTTTCCGTGCCGGTGAGTGTATATAAAATAATATAGAAACACATCGAGCTTATGACGCTATGCAATATCCATTGATATACTTCCATGGTGAGGATGGGTACAATTTCGGACTCTATCAAGTTAATCCAAGGACTAGAATAACAAATTACAATAAAAAAATATCAGCCCTACAGTTTTATTCTTACCAGATACAAATTAAACGAAATTGTTTTAATAATTTGCAACGATTTCGAGGATTATTCAGCCAATTCATTGTCGATATGTACGCAAAAATAGAGACAGAGAGGTTAATTTCTATACGCACGGATTATGTGCATATGCGAGACGCAATGCAGCAAGAACATGGAGGAACATGGAATGGAGAACATGGGACGATTAGTTATCTTACCGTCAAGGTTTATTAGGAGGTCCACGTTACATGCAAGAGCGTACTCAAGACGCCTTTTGCTATGTTCGTAAGTGCGGTCGACCTGACCTTTTTATCACTTTTATCTCTAATCCAAAGTGGAATGATATTGGCCAGGCGCCACATGATCGGCACGACATAATAGCCCGAGTGTTTCACCTTAAACTCAAGCTCATGATTGACCTAATTACAAAAGAAAATGTTTTCGGACCATCAGTGTGTTTTATGTACAGCTTTGAGTGGCAGAAACGGGGCTTGACACATGACCACATTGTGCTGTGGTTAGAAGAAAAACTTAGACCTCATTTTATCGATACTGTTATAAGTGCTGAATTTCCCGATAAGAGCCAAGTTTCCGTGTTATTCGATATTATGCTTGGGAATCACTCAAATATATTCATAACATCAATATTCTTAATTTACTTCTCATTATTTTGATTACCTAAATCAATATTTTTTTTAAATATTTTAAGATTCTGACAATTTCTAAGCGGTTTTATTTTAGACCTTATGACGGCGTTTTTTCAAGTTTTTATAGAAATTATATATTCACCCATACGGCGATAGCCTGGAGTCACTTTTCGATGTGTCGTCTTAAGTTTGTATCGCACCGTACTGACCTGAAGGACTGTTAGCCTGTATATATTTAGGTTTAGGTTTAAGATATTATTTATTTCTCAAAAGATTACAAATCGCTTACGAGAAATTAAAAATTTACAAACAAAAAAATAAAGGAATACATTACAAGCATACAGATTGTTAACTATAGATGTGGGTAAAACGTAAGCAATTAAAAGAACAGTAAACATAGGTTAGAACATCGCACATAATTTGTAATGGCCGAAGTTAGGTTTAATTTTAGCTTGTATTTTTTTTATTTATTTATTATAAAATTTATGATTAAATCTATTATAAAAAAGAAACTTTATAAATGTATTATAATTTTTGCAGGCCCTCAAAAAGTCTAAATCGAAATCGGCGAAGCGACGCCGTATCGGCAAGAAGCTTCTGCGGAAGTTGAAAGAAAAGGAAAAAAAGAAGAAGAAACAAAGCAAAGCAGAGAGGTTGGATGACTCAGATGAATCAGATGATGATGATGAGGATGATAGTGGTAAGCATTTTAATACCGCATTGTTCGTTATGATTGATATATAATTGAGTAGTTAATATAATCGTTAAGAGGATATCCCGACTGCGTTTATTCCATACCTAACATAGTTTTTAGCTTGGATGATTTGATGATACAATCTACTATCTACTACCTCGTTCCTTTTTTGTTTCTTATATGAAAATAATTGTTTTCAAAAATAAAACTGTGATACTAAATTTACGAGCATAAAAAAATAAAAGAAAATATTCGGACACAATTTTTTTATATAGTTCTTGAAAAACATAAAGGAAATGGCCAAAAATTGTATGAATCTGTGCCCCAGACTGCACAGTGATGAAATCTATGTCATTTGAGACTACAGATCTTCTATATAAAGAATTAGAAGAGTGCGTGTAGCTACGCAGCAGTGAACAAAAGTAATGAAGATTTAAAAAAGTTGATTTTAGCAGTCGGTTTTTATCATTATTACACAATGTAGATATTAATAAAGTTCCCATTCACGAGTTTTATGTAGATTAATGTATATGCATGATGATTAGGATGTATCCTAACTGGTTTAGCTGAAAAAAAAAACAAGAACAGCAGTTTTTTTCAGTCTTTGAAATTATTATTTGTAACTAGTTTTTGTAACATAACTATTATTAGAAAATAATTACTTAAATTACTTAACCTACTTAACTTACGTATTACACTGTTTATAATTAGTGGAGCTCTCGCGTGGGGCTACGGCACTTATTAAATAAAAGTAAAATACGATAAAACACAAATACGAAGGAAAAGCATCATATACGGAGAAACGGCGCGTAAGTCTGTAAACGTGAATCAGATCAAGTCTGACATTGACACTTTGTTTTGATGCTTAACGGATGGATTCAGTGTTGCAAGTACTAAAGTAAAATAACCCTATCCTATAATGTAACGCTACATGTTTAAGCTGTTGCTATATTAAACAAATAAATAAAATCCTATCCTTTAGTGTATTTTGATTATTTTGGTGTATTAATTCATTAATTGAAGGCTTGTTTTTATACATAACATATCATAAATAAAGTATTTTTATGAGTTTAGCTATTGTTTTTCCCTACTCTGATCTTATTAAGTATTATATAGCCACATTTAAAGGTGCTATAGAGTAACTTTAAAGAGAAGAAATCACTTTAAATACTTTTAAACTTTTAGTCCTCACGGGTGACAACTCGTCTGCATTTTAATTCGATATAAATATAGAGAAAATTTATAATGATCACATTTTAAGAGTTTTAGCTTTTATATTTAAGACATATGTTCCTGATTTTTGGCAGTAAAGCAGATTACTTAGCAAATGTAAAGAAAACAAATATTAAAGTTAATAGAAATTAAGTCTATTAGCATTTTGCGCCCGATTATGGGCATCAACATCGTTCTAATGACAACTTAAAATAACTTAACCCTTTTTACTGGAAATGAGGCATTGCATCTTAGTCCTCACGGGTGACAACTCGCCTGCATTTTAATTCGTAATCGAGGATAGATGCAGATGTCCATGGGATACACCAACCACTTACCATCAAGTGGACTGTGTGCTTGTTTGACACCCTATCCTTTAAAAAAACTGCGGTTTACGACCTGCCTGACAAGCGTGGCAAATTTGCTTACTATTATCTTCCCTATGAGACAATATGAGGGCAGGGTCTATGTTCAGTATTGTACATTTGAAAGGCTGTGATGAATTAATGAAAAAATAAGTCTGTATTCATGTATGTATTGCGTTTATAAAAGCATCTATAAATGTATTATTTTCTAACACCTTTCAAACAGATAAGAAAAGCAGTAAAAAGTCTAAGAAAAAGAAACAACAAAAATTAAAAAAGAAGAGCCTGAAGCGAAAAAAGAAGGAAGTGTCTTCATCCAGCTCGACATCCTCAAGCAGTGATAGCAGCTCCGACGAATATGAAACGAAAGCTAAGAAATCTAAAAAAGCAGCAGCTAAAAAGAAAAAAGAGAAGAAACGTAAAAGAAAGAGCTCCTCATCGGAGTCCGCTCAAAGCGAAGATCTTTTTGACGTTAACATTTTAAATAATATAAAAACAGAGCGTTTGACCGATGACGAGAAGACAAAGTCCTTAATGGACTTCTCTCCCAGAAGACAGCAGAAACCGCGAGAGATAATAAATGTGAAAGAGCTGCAAAATGATTTTGTTGGTAATAATATACACATAAAGAAAGAAGTAGAAGAGGATATCCCAAAAGTGACAGTGCCTGAAACCCAGAAAGTAAAAGAAATAAATGATTGCGACGTGAGTGTAGAAGTTCCGGTAAAGGAGGCCGAAACTATCGATGAAAAAGACAAAAAGGAGGTTAATAAAGTAGAAGTAACAGTTTGTCAAACGGAAACTGTTGAAGAAAAGGAGAAGGAAGAAAATAAAGTAAAGGTAAAATTAGACAGTCTTTTTGCGCCAATTCATTCATTGCCAGATTTTATATTTTCTTCCCCCATAATATTTTACTTTTATCATAATCAAAATTAAAAAAATACTGTGTAGTGGTGGCATAAGATAATTCAATTTGTTTAGCTGCAGTTTTTATCAACTTTTCATCGATCTTTTCAATCGAACACGAATTAAAAGTGCCAGAAATATGTTCAAGATTCATCATTCATATGTTCATGATTTTGAGATATTTGTCTCAAAAGTTTATAGATAAATATAGTGTTAATAACGAGATGCTATGAAAAATCCACCCATCTCACTCGTTGTTGTAGCAATAGGTGACAGGAGTGAAAATATAAACTTCAGTTGCGCCAACCCGCTTGCGAAGCGTGGCTACTATAGAAAATATCCCCCTATGGGGAAATTTATCGGGGAGCCCATGTTCATCAGTGGAATTATGAATGAATGGGGGAAGAATACCTCTTGTATAAAATACTGGAGGTTATAGGCGTAGACTTTCATTATAAGCCATTTCACTGATCTATTTAGCGAGTTGGCTATCACCATTGTCATCAATAAAGTAGACAGTTTGGTCTATAAAACGAAACAGTGTGTTTTCTCCTACATTTGTGACATTACAATATTTCCTGCACTGTAGGATGATGGAAATGTTGACAATCAACTGATCAAAATTACACTAAAGATGTGCGCATCTGATCTTTGTGCTCTTTTTGTTTATTCTTTGTAAATACTTTTATAATTTTTATTTCAATTGTATCCAAAAGTGTTTATATTCATTACAGGAATCACAAGAAGTTGTCACACCTATCTCTGTGGAAACATCAACAAGCCCTCAAATAATTCCACCAGTCCCTCAAATGGTTCAATCAGTTCCACAAATGGTTCCAAAAGTCTCTCAAATGGTTCCAACAGTCCCTCAAATTATTCCAACCATATCTCAAAAAGCCCCAACAACCGTTCCTCAAGTGGTTCCAACAGTCCCTCAAATGATTCCAACAGTCCCTCAAATTATTCCAACCATATCTCAAAAATCCCCAACAACCGTTCCACAAATGGTTCCAACAATCCCTCAAATGATTCCAACCATATCTCAAAAAAACTCGACAACCGTTCCTGAAATGACTCCAACTGTCTCTCAAATGTTTCCAACAATATCACAAAAAGTTATAACAACGGTCTCACAAACAATTCCAACTGTGCAAACACCTTCAAACATTGAGGTAATTTCAACAATCTCCCAAGTGAATTCAGCAATTCCTCAAATGATTCCAACAGTCCCTCAGATGGTTCCAGCAATATCTCATAAAACTGCAACCGTCTCTCAAACAATTCCAACAATTATTCAAAAAACTTCAAACATTGAAATAATTCCAACAGTCTCGCAAATAACTACAATTCCACAAACAACTAGAACAAATTTCCTAGTAACTCACCAAAACTCCCTAATATCTCCAACAAATTCTCAAATAACCCCAACAACGATTTCTCAAATAAAGCCAGTAATGGATGAATCAAATATGTCCCAATGCTCCTCTCAAGAGTCCGTTTGCAGCGTAAAACCTTATGAGAAAGATGACAGTCATTTGCGCCCTTCCTCACAAAATTCCAACTACAGTTTTAACGATGTGATCAACGCAAGCCAAAGTGGACTTTATCAGAAAGCAATAGAGCCAGTTGTGGAGTGCGAAGATAAGTTTCTCGAGAGCTACCAACAAGATTATGAACTGTACGAGCATTTGGCAATGGCTTATCAAAGTGACGTCGCATCTCAGGTGATTTTCATCTTCAATTTTTTTTTAAACCGAAAATGTTGTAGTAATATAGCATGTCGACGGTGGAAAGAAAAAAGTTACTAAGCGACATATAGGCAACTTTACAGTAGAGGCGGTTAAAATTTGAATTTTAAAAAAATCATGTAAATTGATTCACACTCGCCAAAAACAATATGAGAACATTCAGAAACATTCAGAATGCACCTCAACATTCTGACAAACATATAATTTTATTAGTTAATTACTAGTAATTTATATGTTTTAATTTTATTAGTTCATAATAGATTCTTGCCCCGAAAACCCTTCTGTTTTTAGATGTAGGACTGTCGTACAAGAAAATCTCGGATTAGGGGCGGCTAAACCTAGTCCAATTCAGTCCCCAGAAGGTGCGTTAACCTCTAAAAAGTACCCCTTTGTCGTATCACCTCAGTTTGAAGGCACTCCCCTTGCTGACTCAGCTAGCTTCGGAATCCTCGACGTCAACATATCAAATAGTGTGCAGTTTCGTTGTCACTTGGAGGGGAAAGCCAAATTAACCTCTAAAAATCTTGGCGTGCTGAGCAGAGCGAGACAGTATTTCATGCCTGCATATCGCTTGCAACTTTACAAAGCGCAAGTTCGGCCTCACATGGTATACTGTTCTCATCTCTGGGCTGGGGCACCCCAGTGCCAGCTCAATCCACTTGACCGCATCCAGCGCAGAGCGATTCGAATCGTCGACTACCGAGTTCTTTCTGATCATCTCGATTCACTGGCGCTGCGTAGGGATGTTGCATCCTTTTGCGTTTTTTATCGTATCTACCACGGGGCGTGTTCCGAAGCATTGTTCGGATTAGTTCCAGCCGCCAAATTTCACGAACGCACATCGCGTCAAAATTCACGATATCATCCTCACCATCTGGATGCTTGGAATGTGCCCATGGTTAAAAAGTGTGGAAAACAAAATGGTTGCCATACCAATTTTAAAGACTGAAAAGGTTGGGGTTAGTTTGGTGCGCGTGGTTGAACGAATGTTGTAGAAAACAACAAGGGTAAACTGCTGGCAATATAAAAAAATTAAAGATGGCGAATCTAAGTTGGCGATTAAAAACTTAGTTGCTCCAATCCGCCTGTAATTTTGGGGATTTTTGCAAATTCTAGCGGTGGTGAAAAAAATCAAAACGGCGGAAAACAAGATGGCCGTCATACCAATTTTAAAGACTTATAACTCGGCATGATCTTTGTTTTGTCCATGTTCATCTTAAGACCTATCCGTTGGGAGACACCATTGAGGTCATTGAGCATAGTGCTAAGGTCCTCCAGCGATTCTGCCACAAGGACTATATCATCGGCAAATCGAAGGTGAGTGATGTACCCGCCATTGATGTTAATATCGTATCCTTTCCAGTCCAGTAGCTTGAAAACGTCTTCCAACGCAGCGGTGAAGAGTTTCGGGGATATAACGTCACCCTGTCTTACACCTCTCTGCAGTTGGATAGGTTTCGAACTCTGGTTCTGTACTCGGATAGCCATCGTAGCCTTACTGTACAAACACTTCAGCACTTCGATATACCGACAGTCAACTTGGCACGGCTGAAGGGACTGTAGCACCGCCCAAATTTCGACGGAATCAAAGGCTTTCTCATAGTCCACATACGCCAGGCAAAGTGGCAGATTGTACTCTTCGTTATATGTTTAATGTCCATGTCACACCTATGCCGGTAGTTGTTGGGAGCACTATGCTCGAAGTTGTTGACGAGTACGTTTACCTGGGACAAATAGTCCGACTAGGTAAGTCCAACTTCGACCGAGAGGTCAATCGACGGATTCAACTCGGCTGGGCAGCGTTCGGGAAATTACGACACATCTTCTCGTCAAGTATACCTCAATCTCTGAAAACTAGAGTGTACAACCTGTGCGTGTTGCCAGTGATGACTTACGGATCAGAGACGTGGTCCTTTACTGCTGGCCGTATGAGGACGCTCAAGGTCAATATAAAAAATATAGTCGCTCAGCGAGCTATGGAGAAGGCTATGCTCGGAGTTTCTCTGCATGATAGACTCAGAAATGAGGATATCCGCAGTAAAACCAGAGTGACCGACATAGCCCAACGGATTAGTAAGCTGAAGTGGCAATGGGCCGGCCATATAGCTCGAAGAACCGATAACCGATGGGGAAGAAAGGTTCTCGAGTGGCAGCCTCGTAACGGTAGGCGTAGTGTAGGGCGACCCCCTACTAGATGGAGTGACGACCTGGTAAGACATGCAGGAAGTCGATGGATGCAGGTGGCTCAGAACCGTGCTTTGTGGCATTACTTGGGGGAGGCCTATGTTCAGCAGTGGACTTGTGAAGGGCTGTAATGAACTCGGCAAAGTTAAAGGATAGTTTAGTGGTTCTCGAATAAATGTTGTAAAGACTGACGAAGGTCAAATACAAGCGATAAAATAATCAAGACGGCGGATTTAAGATGGCGATAAAAAATCAACAATGACGCATTAAATTATAATAAACAGACTTAGAAACATTTCCAGGATAACTAAAGAAAAAAAATTAATAGTAAAAAACATTTTTAAAAACATGCTTTTATTTAAATGCTGTAAAAAGAAGAAAAAAAAAACTTAAAATTAAATCAAACCCATCATTTTATTACACAATTTGTTTGATATGAAAGCTTGTCGTGAGTTTTACCTGTATACATAAACAGGAATACAATAACAATAATATATAACTTGATATTCAAATAGGTAGGTAATTCTAAGAAAAAAAGTTTTTGTGGTTCCGCACCCAAAGGTTAACCAACGGGACCTTATTACTAAGCCTCCGCTGTCTGTCCGTCTGTCAGTCTGTCACCGAACTGTATCTTATGGTCTGCTGCTGTATATCATGATGATACATGTATCAGATTAGGTCAGGATAAAGTTCTAATCTAAGAAATGATTTGAACCGCGACTGCTGATCAAGATATGCTAATTCCCGGGTTCGAATTCCGGTACAAATTGGACAACTGGAAATTAGTTATTAGGTTTTCTTTGAGTAAATTCCCACTAGCAGCCAAGGGTCAGAAATCTGTCGGAGTTTTACCCGTGTAGGGATAATAGGTAGACAGTTGAAATTTTCACAGAACTATAACAACAGATAACAAAAATAAATTGAAACTTAAAGGAGGCTCCCCTGCTTGAAACGTGTTTTACGATGGTACGGAACCCAAAGATTTAAAAAGTTAGATGCGCCTACGACCACTCCGAAATGTGCCCATTCTCAAATGAGTGAGCTCACTCATACGCAATCAGTACTAATTTGTGCGCGATGACAGCCATTTGCAGACGTTGCAGATTGGAACTATCGCGCTGATTTCACCAAAAAAAAAATTCAGAATACCATCGTGTGCCCTTCAAAAGTGCAGTAATAATTCTAGAAATACAATTAAAGCCCAAGGTGTAACATTTCACTCGTAAGTATCTATATTTTATTAAATATTGAATTTATTTTATTCCGATTTTAAAAAATACCACGAAATAATTACAGGCAAACGGAAACTGTGTCACAGAAAAAGTAGTATTCACAATTTCCGTAAGATAATAAGAAATGACACTATTTTCTCAGTACTCTTTTAATGACCAATTTCGTTAGATGCTCGAAAGTACCAAGGAAGCGGTTTACGAAGAGATCATCCATAAATAGACAAAACAGTTTTTCGAGGTCAAGGCGCATCTAACTATTTAAATCTTTGACGGAACCTTCATGTGCGAGTTCGACTCGCACTTGGCCGCTTATTTACAGAATTGGTAAATCTCGCAACTAGCTTTTATATAATATAAATTGAGTAATGTAATAAATTGATGGGTTTGATTTAATGTAAAGTTTTTTAGAGCATTTTAATAAAAGTTTATTTTGAAAAATGTTTTTTTACTATTAATTTATTAAGTATATATATCTATTTCGAAATACTTAAACATTTTTTTAACTTTGGAAATCTCATCTGAATTTGTGGCACTAAAAAATCGATTTTACTTTTTTACACTCACTGTGTCACAACATTAGAAAAAAGTTTTGGTAGTGTTGCTACATTTATTTGCGTAGTAAAGGTCCCGCACATGAATGCAGTGTCAGGGAAGTGGCAGACTGTGCCGGTGTATTACAAAGTACATTTTTATGTATATAGGGCACTGAAACTCTTGCGCTAGTACAGGTACTGACGTGTGTAAATAATTTAATATAAAGTGTATGTATTATATGTTTGATTCCTCGATGGAATGCTACGTTCATGATGTGTGTGGACTGTGGATCGACCTTTAAAGTAAGGTTTTGCTTTGATCCAGCAAGCTATACCGTCGTTGGGAGCGGGCGAACAGCGCATCGAGACGGTGGTGCGCGCGCGCAGCCGCGGCGAGATCAAGTGCGACTGGCGCGCCGGCCATTCGCCCGCGCCCGCGCCGCCGCCACCCGCCGCGCGCCCCGCACGCCCCTCGCGCTGGGGTACGTACGGCTACGATTGGTCAGCTCCCGCTTCATTTTTTAAATGATTCAGTCGTGTGCCAACCTAGCGCGACGCGTCTTGCGTCTGCGATGAGCGGAAAAAATAACAAGAGGTGCAACGTTGACGCGTGTGTCGTGCGCGTCAGGCGACCGCGATCACCTGAGAACATGTTCGTGTTCGTGCGCCTTGAGTATTAATCAAATCGTGTTGATTTTTCCACAATGCAAAACATAAACACGGAGACGTTTATTAGCAAAATAATGTCTCGGTCTGCAGTATGGTCTAGTAAGAATAGAAATTATAATCATAATATTATATTCCTATAAACTTTTGTGGGTATTGACGTATTTCATCATACTGTCTACGATATTCACCAAAATTATACCTGCTTTAGTTTAAATCATGAACTCCTATTTTAATTTGCATTATATCTTGTGTAAAAAAAACTACTTCTTTCTAGACACGAAGGTGCCAATTTAGAAAACCCCATTTTTTAGCCTGCGCAAAAATGTAATGCAGCCGCCCCAACGTGGCATACTGCAGCGGCAAGATGCAGCGTCTTCACGCCTCCCGCTTCCGCAGGGTGCCTCCACTCCCTGCAGTCGCTCTAGCGTGGCCAACGCCTTAGACATGGGCCAATCGTGAATAATCCTTTCATTTGACCCAATTACATTATAGAAAGTTCCTGACAGGATCTAAAACCAACGATTGGAGTAATGCCCGACAACCGACATTATCGAGCGGATTTACATTCGCAGATTACAGAGTATTGAAACTCAAAACGATCCATTTGAATGATCGACCTGAATGATCCTGTTTGTAAGAAGAATCAATACTTATATGATCGGTTTACTAGAAATGAGTGAATGACACATATCTAAGAGGATTTGATAAGATTAAATAAAGTATATAGAGAACAAACACTTTATATACCGGGTGTTTGTGAAACGCTCCCGAAAAATAAGACAGACGATAGTACTAACGATACCTTTGATAATGGGACTGAAAGATATTTGATTCCGATGAAAAAAAATCATGTTTACACAACGTCTATTAGCTTTATTCACGCTCCACCATGTTAGTACAGCTAAATGAAAATGATAATTACATTAAAAAAAATCATGAAAATACTTAAACATAAGACCAGCAGTGGAACTTAAAATACCTAAAATCCGCCCGCAGCCTGCGATCGTAACAATACCTAATAATTTAGAGCACTTGTCTAAATTCCCCGAAAACTCATGTAAAATTCCCCAATTTAGAGTCAAAACTTCAACAGATTCCCCACAAATTACCCTCAATTTTATTTTAAGAAATGAAACAATTTTCAACTAATTTTATGAGAATTATTTTTAACTAACATTTTTTTCTTTTTTTTCCAAATTTTTTTTCACACTTTCCATATTTTTGTAACAAGCATTTAACTCCATGGAGTATTTTAATTCCTTTCCTTGATGTCATTAAAAAGTACCACAGTACCTGCATTTACTATGCTTTAAAATTAAAAAAAAAATAAAGAACTGAAAAGTATTAAATTATACACAAAAGTTGCCGAAATAAATCCCATTTGTTTAATACTCTAATTCTATATTTTTAAATAAATAATCTAAAAAGAATATAGTCTAGTTTTTCAAACTGATCGCATACTTTTTTTTGTCTTTTGGTGTCTACGCCACCACATTAACTTTCTGATTCAGGTATCGACACGACAGTAACCAACGCTTAACGACTTCTTTTTTAATTTAAAAACTTTTATACAGATTACATATTTTGTGGTCTGGGTTATTTCGTTTATCCACCCTAAAAAATCGACCCTAGGGTGGATACGCGAAAACGCGTGTTCATCTATCCACCACAGATGGGTTGGATAATCGGAATTCGTATGTTATTTTTCTCCGATTTTATCTTCGGTTGTGTACAGTCATTTATAGAAACATGATAAAAATTGGCTCAAGATACTTTGTATGCTTATTTGAAAGGTCAAAGCTTAAATAAAGAAGTGCCTCACAGGACTACAAATTACATTTGAATCTTCGCATCAAACAATTTCATTCGAACTTAAAGATAATTACTCAAATTTAGCTAAGTTAATCCACCCTATGGTAGATTTTTTAGGGTGGATAAACGAAATAACCCCACGGTCTTGTAAATTTACTAAGACACTAAATTTATAACAACAGTACGTAGATTACTTTAAATTCTATTATTTTACTATCGCACAGGCCTGAAACCGGGTGAAGTGAACATTGTGCTGACGGGCGGCAGTGACTACACAACGGAACCGTCACCGAATCACCAGCACGAACAAATCCAAACAAAAGCACAACCCAAACCGCTCACGCGACCTCATGTGCCGTCACCACAGCCCGTCTACAAGATACAGAGCCTCGCCAACCGTACGGATGTCAATGTGACTAGTGGGTAAGTTTGTTATGTTATGTATTAGTTTGGTTAAAACAATCCAAAGTACAAGTTGATTACTTCATGCAAATTGAAATTTTCAAATTGATTTGACATACAATAAGGATGCTTCATAAGGTTCCATTCTAGGTCCACTCCTATTTCACTTTATTGTTGTGATTTCTCTAATAAAATATTGTCTGTACCTCTTAAGTTTAACCCCAAATGTTACTAAAATATTAAGAAACTTATAATGTACGAGGGTGGATTGAAAAGTACTCGGCCTAACCAAGAAAATAAACACATACTAAATCAGTTATATTTTTATTTTTCTACATAATCACCATCAAGTTCAATACACTTTTGCCACCTCCCCTTCCAAGCATTTAGACCGTTGAAAAAAAATGATTCTTCCTTAGAGTCAAAATATGCGTCTACAGCTGCTTTGACCTCGTCGTTTGTCGAAAATCTTTGACCTCCCAAGTGCTTTTTTAGGTTAGGGAACAGAAAGAAGTCTGATGGTGCCAGATCAGGTGAATACGGCGGATGCGGTAACAGTTCAAAGCCACAGTTGTGAATTTCAGCCATTGACTGTACTGACGTGTGAACACGGGCGTCATCTTGATGAAACAGGACTTTTCTTCTGAGCATTCCTCGACATTTTTCTTTTATTTCCTCTCGTAAACGACGTAGTAAGGTGCAGTAGTAATCAGAGTTTATAGCCTGACCCCTTTCAAGATAATCAATCATAATCACACCTTTCGAATCCCAGAATACTGAAGCCATCACCTTATTTGCCGACAAAATCGACTTAGCCTTTTTAGGGGGTGGTGAACCAGGTCTTCTCCACTGTTTTGATTGTTGTTTTGTTTCCGGTGTACAGTAATGAACCCATGTTTCGTCCATAGTAACAAAACGATTCAAAAAATCATCTGCATCGGCTTCAAATAACTCCAAACAGTCGCGTGAAATAGTCAATCGCGTCCTTTTTTGTTCAACTGAAAGCAGTCGCGGAACCCACCTCGCAGACACCTTGTGGAAACCCAACTCGTTGACAATGATGTTTTGAGTTCGTTCATAAGAGATGCCTATAATCTCGGCTATCTCTCTAATTTTTAATCTGCGGTCTCCCATTATTAAATCATGTACTTTTTTTAATATTTTCGTTAGTAGTTGACGTCGAAGGCCTTCCAGAGCGGGGTTCATCTTTCACACTCTCTCTACCACGCTTAAATTCCTATCCATTTTTGGACGGATGAATATGACAGAGCACAATCGCCTAATGTACTGAACATGTCATCATGGATGGCTTTTGATGATAGCCCCTTCTTATGGAGGTACTTAATGACGGCACGCTGCTCGATTTGCTCCATTCGCGGAAATTATGTCCGATTACTTTGTTAATAAATTTATAAAATCACAACTAATTATCGCACACGTTTCGAACTTCACACAATGAATTAGTCTGAACTGAACTAAATAATGTGGGTAAAAATGGTTAAAAATAATTCACTTAAACTGAATCAAGCTATTAATTAATTAAGCAGTAGCTAAGAAAGTTGGGCAGTCATATTATGCAGTTAACGAATAGTACAATCAGTAATATTTTTCCGAATAATTAGAAACTGTTTAAATAATAACCTAAAATAATATCACGATTTTTCCCTAGACTCGGTGTTTTGAGTTACCTTATAACGTATATATATATATATATATATATATATATATATATATAGTTTTATCGATAATATTCAATAATCTAAAAAAAATAGTCGCAAAGTAAACACGCAAACTCAGTGTGCTAATTATATTTATTGTTGTTAAATTATTTAAAGTATTTGTTCTTTCTAAATAAATGTGTTAAAACACTGCTAAAGTCTACCAACACGTGCTGTTCTTAACAACTTCTATCTTTTTATTGCTAAAGCACAGTTTTGCATAACCGTCAAATATGGACCCACAGCTTGTAAATAATCTTGATGAACTGGAAAAATTATTTGCTTCTCGCATGCGTGAGTATGAAGATAAGCTTTTAAAAGCCTCAGCTGTTTTCCTCGCCAGTTCACCCAGACATTTCTTCACTGTCCAAGGACTTCAACGATTTCAAATCCTTTGTTTGTCAATCGCTATCGCTGATCAGAAAACAATTGGACTTAGTTACATACAATATTGACAAACATGAAACAGCAATGAGAAGAAAAATACTGCTTATCCATGGTTTTTCTGAAAGACAGAATGAGAAGTTGCATGAATCGGTATATAAGCTGTTTTCCGACCAAATGAAGGTGTCCGATTTGAAAGTCGAGGATATACAAGTATGCCATCGTCTTGGATCTTCTCAAGCCTCAACACGTCCAGTGCTTGTTAAATTTGGTAGTCCGGAGAGTCGTCGTCTTGTCTGGGATAACAAAACTTCACTAAAAGGTTCAGGTATCACGATTTCCGAGTTTTTGACTAAGACAAGGCACAAAGTATTTATGACAGCTCGTAAACATTTCGGGATTAAGAACTGCTGGTCCGTAGAAGGAAAAATAGTTATTATTTTGCCGGACAAATCACGTCAGAGGATTGAGTCTATGGCAGAACTAAAACCCCTTATTTACAGATATCCCGACAAGTGTAGTACGGTCAAAGACCCTGGTCAGTCTAAGGAACCCACTTCTCCAAAGGAAGTTGCGTCCAGATTGACTACTAATGCTCCACGGAAGGCTCGTCGCCGCAACTAATCCCTAGTTTCGTTGTTTTCTTTCAGAAAATATAGGTACATAGAACAATCATTTTTTTTTGTTTGTTTTTGTTAGCCGCTTTACAACCACTTTGTAATACTGTTTTATAATTACTTTATATTTCTGTAATAATGATACATTTTTCCAGCTGGTACTTTTATAATAAGATAAGCATTTAATTACACACAGTAATTATCAAAATGTCTATTTTATCATTCACATTTGCGTAAGCATCATACTAGTCTGTGATTCACATTGAATTGACCTCCGATAGGAGTAATAGTGTTCTGTGGAATTGACACTCGTGAGTTTTGAGATGACTATTATGCATTTTTTTATTTATTTACTTTTTCTCTTAGTTGTGACGCACGGCCCTTTGGCCACTGTGATACTGTCAAGTTGTAGCTTGGGAAAATGTATTATTTATTCTCCTTTGCAGTAATATGTAATAGTGTTATTCAATATTTTTATTAATCTCTTAAGGAATGATTTCTTATATTTACGCGAACACTACACATTGAAATAATACTAGTTTTTTACGGAATTTATCGCGTATATTTAACTTTTTAATTACCCGACGTTTCGAGAGCTTTACAGCACCCATGGTCACGGGAAGGACTGAGATGTTCAACGTCCAGCTGTCATAGTTAACCGCGGTTACCATAGATTAAAATTTAACTTTTGTTCCGATCTACACAGTATGAACTTATGGTATCATGGAGTCTTGCAGTTGTATGCTTGGGTTGGGATTTAATTTTATTTATTATAGGATCCCAAGCAGATGGTAGCACCCAGCCATCTTCTCTATTGAAATTAGGATGTTTTTTGATTTCAATAGCCTCGCGAATCATCCTTGGAAGGAATCGGTGTTCTTTAGCGAGGATTTGTGGTCTATCAAATCTGATGTAGTGACGGGGGCGATCCTGTACATGTTCACAGACTGCAGACTTCCCGGAGCGTCGATTCTTCACATCAGCTATATGTTCTTTGACGCGGGTTTTAATGGATCTTTTAGTTTGTCCTATGTAGGAGAGACCACATTCACAATCAAGCTTGTACACTCCTGCATCTTGCAGAGGGACGTTACACTTGACTGATGGTAAAAACTGACCAATCTTCTTCGGCGGCTTGAAGTATGTTTTGATGGAAGCGCGCTTCAAGATGTAGCCAATCTTGTCAGTGACTCCTCTAACATATGGCAGTACAGCAGGTACACGCTCGACTGTGGCCGGCTTCACTCGTTCTCTGTGACGTAGGCGCGGGACCCGAAGCTTGTTGTCATGCAAAACTTGCTTGACATGTTGGAGCTCGGCAGCCAGGTGTTTACTGTCACAGATCCCTCGTGCTCTCTGAAACAAAGATTTACCCACGGTAGCTAACTGTGAAGGATGGTGGTGAGAATCACCGTTTAAATATCTATCTGTATGGGTCTTTTTTCTATACACAGTATGGCTCAAGGTGTTATCAGGATTCCGAATTACTAACACATCTAGAAAAGCTAAGGAATTGTTTGCCTCTAACTCCATTGTGAACTGAATTTTAGAATTTATAGAGTTAAGATGGTCTAAAAATGCAGTTACTTTATCTAAAGGTAGAATTGTGAAAGTGTCGTCTACGTACCGCTTGTAGAAACTTGGATTTATGGGAGAAGTAAGCAGGGCTTTCTCCTCAAAGTCTTCCATGAATATGTCGGCGACAATGGGAGATACAGGTGAGCCCATCGCCACACCATCTACTTGCTTGTAGAACTCCTCCTTCCACAATAGGTAGCCAGATGTAAGGCAGTGTCTGAGTAATACTGCATATTCTACGGGCATGTTGTTTTCTTCCAGCCTTCTAGTTACAATTGAGATGCAGTCTTCAACAGGTAAGCATGTAAACAATGACTGCACATCAAAACTGACCATAGTTTCATTGTCTGCCAGACGTAGGTCTTTAATCTCGCTGACAAAATGGTAGGAATCCTTTATGTGTGCTCTTGTATGTCCCCTGAGCGGTGAGAGTATTTTCGCTAAGTGTTGAGCCAATCTGTAAGTTGGTGAATCGATTTGGCTCACTATGGGGCGTAATGGAGCATTGGGCTTGTGTATTTTTTGGTAACCCATACAACTTTGGTGATTTGGCGCACGTAGGTATTATCCATTTTACGTCCAGATTTAATTTTTCGGAGTGTTTCTTTATGAGGTCACTAGTTGTTTTTAGTGTGCTATTTGTTGGGTCGTTTTTAACCTTTTTTATAAGTACTTACATCCGACAAAAGTTCTTGTATTTTAGAATTATAATCTGACGTATCCA